ACAACTTTCACCTTTTCGATTGCATTTAGATTGTTACCTGGAGACGATGATTATGTTTACGCTGCTATCATTCAGCATCTGAACGTTTCATGGATCAAGTTGACATTTAGAAAATGTTTCAAAGTTCATCATCATGATTGAACAATTTATGAATCATTTCAACAATTTGAGAATCACATAAGTTACATAATAATAATGATGAGCAAACAAATATTCAAATTGAAGATGATTAACTTTAATCATCTTTATTGGAATGACAGTTACAAAGGGTCAATGAAATGAACTATTGGTTATTAACTGTAGAGTAGAGATTGAGAAAAGTTAATTTATTGGATCGAATATGACAAAAGTTCTAATGGAATGGAATTTTATTGTTAACTGAATTAAGAACAAAAAAAAGTAAATACAAAGAATATACATCATGAGGTCTCCAATGAATCTTTCACCGTAATCGGACAAACTATTGAGCAATTTTGTGTATTCTTTAAAATTTTGAATCGGTTTCCAGGGAATTAAAATGAAAATTTAATGGTGGAAAAAGTGAAAGAGGTAAATGGACCTTAGAGTGTAAACATTTCATCAGCTGATTCAATGATCACAATCAAAGAAAACGTCACTTGTTTGGGTTCACAATTTAATTCAATTCTCAAGATAATCAATCATGAAAATTATGCTGGTTCATTTTAATTGTGTGAATCTTTCACATCTCTAATAATGTTTCCAAATTAATATTCTTTTCTTGTTCTCTCTCTCTCTCTCTCTCTCTCTCTCTCTCTCTATTTCTATTCACAGGAAACATCAAATTACCGGTTAATTGTATTAATGGATAATGATGGTGAATTTATGATTATGGTTCCATGAGCATGGAAAATGAAGATTTGAAAGAAAGCAAGAAACGTCAATCTAATGTTTCCCTTAAGTTGAAACTGGATTGAAGGAGGAAAAGAACAAAAAAAAACACTGATCAATGATGATGATTTTGGGCCAGGCAATTGAAGAGAGAGAGAGAGTCTCGGGTGATTGATTAAGATTCAAGGACGAACAATTTAACATGAAAAGGAAAGAAAGAGAAACTGATTAGGTAAAATGAACCAAGTTCAGTGTTTTTGTTTATCATTCTGTTGATGTTATCATGTTGTTGTTTGTCTGTTTATTATTCTGTAGGCTGTTTAACTATTACCATGACCATGACCTTGGAATTGTGAGTAAAATTAGCTCAACCCAACAGAGATTCATTGACCTACTCATGATAATATCTATGGAGATGATTATGATAACTAGATGATGATGAGGATGATGAAATATCCAAGGAGATACAGATAAAAAAAAAGGATTCTGAGTAGTAACTCTTAAAGTAAATAGAGAGAGAGAGACTTGAAAACAACATGAAAACCTGATAATTTTAATGATCATGGTTATTATCATGATGAAGATGATCACATTAACCAAAATCTCTTGTCAATCTAATACGAGGTTGTCAGAATTTACCTGCATTTGAAATGATCATCTTTCCATCAAGGATCATCTTGTCTTCTTCCAACCATTTTTCTCATCAAAATTGTCTCTTTCTGCTATGTTTATGTTTGCTGTTCGTGGTGACAACAAGAACTCACTGAAATGTTTGTTTGTCATTCCCTATTATGGATGAACAACTATGATAATTATTCTGTTGACAATCATTTTGCTATTCATGAAATAAAATCGTTTCCATTGTGTGTAAATTTCAAGTAATTTAGAAGCTCATTTGTAATCTTCATTTCTTTCATCCTCTACGTGGTATTTACCTGATGAAAACTTTGATTTCTGTTCATTATCATGAGTGAGAGAGTTTGAGCTCTCCCTGTTTCGATTTCATGTATTAATCTTCCTCCCCTTTACCATTAAAACATTGAATCTCTATTTCAATTGTGATGTAATTTCATTCATAATCTTTGATATTGGTTAAAGTTCAGGATGAAAAGAGTTTGTTAATCAATCTCAATGAGTTTGTAACTCGAAAGAAAAGTTAACCCGAATTAACCAGAAAAAAAGAAAGTTACTTCTTGAAGAAGATGAAAATTCTGATGATGATGAGGGAAAAATTAATCTCTCTGAAAGATTATCCATTCATCATCATCTTCTTCCATTGTTATTTGTTATCATCATCATGATAATGATAATTTTATCTTCTTCTCTTCCCTATTTGATCAATAAAATAATGTGATGAAAATGAGAATACAAGATGAAGAGGAGAAAATTAGATGAGACTAGTTGATTAATTAAAAGATTGTAAATGTTACCCTATGGATGAATGATCGTAAGTCAATTGTTTATGTGTGTGTTTATCAATTAACTTGTGATTAAGTTGATTGTTTGACTGATTGTGTTTTAATTGTGACGTAAAACTGGTTTTCTGGTTAAGTTCAAAAAACTGTTACTTTTTTAATCAACATTCAAATACTAATGATAATTAGAGAGACAAAATGTTTTTTTTATATTATATTCAACTAAATGATCGTTAATCATGGACAATGGATTAACCTGAATTTAGAATCTTTAATTGTTACAATTAACTTTGATTATCGTTTTTTAGTTTTCTCTCTTCTTCTCAATTCTTTTTCTCAACACAAAGAAAGTTCAACTTTCTTTGTTCTCTCTCTGACCTTTTCATCCCCTTGATACTTTAACCTAAACCCTCGAGGGGTCAAGCTCTATGGGCAAGGTTACTGAGAAAAGTTGACCTTTCCCTTGGAGGTTTATTATTATGCTTCCAATCACTGATGACCTAAACTTTTAAGATCTGGAAAAAAAACCTTGAAGCCCGGGCACAAGTAATTTACTGACCAACTGACCTCTCAACGCCCTTTAAACTAAGGTCACGAATCTGATTTAAACTTTAGCTCTAATGTTGACTTGATATCATGAGAATACAAAAACACTAACACTTACGATAAGATAATTGTACTAATAATTATGATTATCTTTTCGTCTTATGGATTAACCTTAATGCTAATCTTATCCTCATGATTACATTTACTTTCAATTGTCCACTAATGGTCATCTTAACAGTCATTTATTACCATTTTAATTGTTTTAAGTTTTTCTTGTTCAACGACAATTAATTTGAATTTACTTTTTTTCATCTCTCTCTCTCTCTCTCTCTCTGGATGATTTATTTACTAAACCAAACCGTTAATTGTTTCCCTTTCATTGTAATTACTCATGTGATGTAAATGATTAGTGTATGATTGTTAACTAATTGTTACTCAAGGAATGACAATCAAGTTTCAATAATCTAATTACTGAATGATAATTACTCTTGATAAAATGTGAATACTAAGGTAACATGATCTTTAGATTATTCAATTTGATTGTTACTAATCTTGTGCAAAAAGAAAAGTTAATCAACAATTAAATTCAACTTTCTTTTCAAATCTGTAATTAGTTAAATTGCTGCTTGATTGTTACAACAACAACAACTTTACTTTCATTCATCTGTATCTTTAAATACAATTAGAATTGAAAATTTACCGTTATAAACACTTTTTGATTGTTCAACAATTTGAACTAAATTGGTTGGAAACATTTTCTTAATTTGATTTGCCTTTAATCAGAAACACTTAAATTTAGATTTAAAATTAAATCTAACAATCAACTTATTCCAACTAATTTAATTGTAATCATTATTATTACTATGAATAAGTTTTTCCCTTTCTTCAACTTATTGATCAAGTCTCATCATTTAATTGATTACATTTTATCAATAACAATCTTTTGATTATTAAGTATTAGGTATTATCAATCAAAGTCTGGTCATCATAATTAATTAATTACTATCATTAACTTTTTTTTTAGTGCCAAGATAATTAAAAAACAATTGAGAATCATGAGATTGCCATGAAATGATCATATTAACTTGTTGATAATTATTACACCAGAATTGGAATCAATCTGACAAAGAAGAAACAATTGTAAACATTAAAATGAAAGCTTAAAAGATTAAGTTAATTAAATGTGATCACAATTAATGATAGAGATGGAAATTGATTAACTGAACAAAATAACAAGATTATCATAATCATCACATGGTTATGATGAATGAAAATAACATCAGGATGAAGATTGAGTAATAACAACAACAACAACAATGAAAGGTAATCTAGCTAAACTTGTTTTCCATCATCAAGGTGACCTTGGCAGCAATGGCAACAATCATCATCATCATCATCGTCATGAAGATATCGCAGATATGATGAAGAAAACATTGAAAGTTGGTGATAAAGTGAAAGCACTCGCAATCAATTGATTGTCTTTCAATTCTGTAAATCAATCGGAACTGGGTGAATAGATGAATGTGAGAGAGAGAGGGAGAGAGTGAGAGGAAGATGATGGTGATGATGATGACGAAAATGAAGAAGATGCTGAGAAATAAAAGATAAACAGGTAACTAAGAATTTTCCAGAGATGAGTAAGTCAGAATTAAGATGGAGATCAAGTTTTTTGCTCCTCATCATCTTCATCATCATTTTTCTCGTAAATAAGTTGATGATGATGATGAAGATGAAGATGAAGATGAAGATGAAGATGAAGATGAAGATGATGATCCTGGTTACGCTGGTTCGACTTAGATGATTACTATCATCATCTTGTTTACAGTTTTCTCTCAAATTTCACCTTCAACCATGAAAAAGAAGCACAAACAAGATAATTTTGAAACTAATTCCAACAAAATGATTAAATTGATTACATAATCAACTGAAAGTGCAATTAAATCAATGGTTCCAAACAGCAATCTAATTGTAATTGTAACAATTACGAGGTACATTGAGCTGCAGATGCTAACCTACAATTGTAACGTAATTGATTAAATAATAATCTTCTTCTTGATAAAAGTTGTTTCATTTCATTTAAGACGTTAATTAATTGTAACAATCAAATTGATGACGAAAAACTAATTGTTTCAATTATGACGACCTAACTTTGGATTAGTTGAAAGTTTTATTATTATTGCATTTTGATTATTATTATTATTATTACTCTAATTGTAGTAATCAATTTATCATTTATGAATAATTAAACCAAATTAACCATCTGTCATTATCAACAATTAAGGTTATCCAACCTAATGATTAGATGATTAACCAAATTACGAAAAAATTACCATAGTTTTGTCAATTGAACCTCACTAGTAAATTTATAAATTGCTGTCGCAGTGTCATCATGATAATCATTTAGGTTCAGTGTTAACTTTTGATCACTTTACAGATAATCAAAATAGTTAATTAACTTTAATTTACTTTGGGTAATCATCTTGATAATCTTAATTGTGATCATGATCTTTTTAATATTATTACTCGCAATTCCTGCTGAGCTTCATGGGGCTGATGAGAAATCATTTGATATAAATAAACTTTGGTCTTTTTTCAAGGTAAGTAATTTAAATGTAAAGATCTAATTATAGTAATTAACTTTTTCGTTATATAAATATTGTTGATTTTTTTAGAACGAATTTCAGAAAACTTATTATTCAGATCGAGAGGAGCGATTTCGAATGAACATTTTCGCTTCTAATTTGGGAACAATTAACGCTCATAATGATCGAGCTGAAAAAGGATTGGAATCATTTACCATGGGAGTTAATAAGTTCAGTGATTTGGTGAGTATGAGGCTTTTGTTTTTCGGTTGAAATTTTTGAACGAAAACTTTTTAACTTTTCGAGTTTTCAGACTTTCGATGAATTTTCGTCTAAATATCTTGGAGGACGATTTCGATCCAAAGGATTTAGTAGTTGGTTCTTAGGTGGACCAATAAATCATCTTGCCGATCCCAGTGAATCTTTGCCCGATTTTCTTGATTGGAGAGAATCAGGAATCGTTAGTTCGGTCAAGAATCAGGGTGCTTGTGGTTCATGTTGGTCATTTTCGACAGTTTCATCCCTCGAATCAGCTTATATGAAGAAAACGGGAAATAAAACCACTTTAAGTGAACAAAATCTTATGGACTGTTCGTGGGCTGAAGGTAATTTAGGCTGTAACGGAGGTTGGATGTCCGATGCTTATCGGACTGTCACTCGACTGGGAGGTATCATGAGTGCGGCTGATTATCCATATGCTGGTCGAGATTCAATCTCTTGCAAATACACCCAATCCAAAGCAGTATTAGGAGTTGAAAATTATGCCACAGTCGACGGCTTGGCTAATATGAAAAGCGCAGTGGCTAAAACAAACGTCGCCGTGGCCATGGAAGTGGACAACAAATTTCAACACTACAAGTGAGTACTTAATAGTTGATTCCATTATATATATATAAATAAGTAGAAAATGCTAATCTAATAATCTAATTGAATGAAGGAATGGAGTCTTTAAATCAAGTGGGTGTAAGAATACACCCAAATCCCTTAATCACGCTGTGAACCTTGTCGGCTTTGGTAAGGCCGTTATTCCCGTGAATACAACTCGAGATGGTGAATCGACTGAGGTTGATTATTGGCTTTTAAGAAATAGCTGGAGTAACTCTTGGGGCGAGTCAGGGTATGCAAGGATTCAAACAGGTCAGTGTGGTATTGAATTTGTTGGATTCTATCCGATAATCAAGTTAATCTAATTTTAAAATGAGTGACTACACTTGATGAATTAATTAATTGTTACAAGAATAAAAAAAAAAGTTTTCCCTTTCGTTATCAATATTGTATCTAATGTATTATTATTATTGTATTTTAACTGATTATTGTTGTTAAGGGGAAACAACAACAATAACTGTTGGCTAATCAATTGATCCAGTTTAAACCTGAACAATTAATTTGATTGTTATTGATTTTCTGGTTGAAGTGAATAAAAAAAAAAGTTTCTGGTTCAATTTTTATCCAATTGTTTTCATGTACACAAAGATTATCACAAAGATTAACGATTAACCATAATTAAAGCCTAAGATTAACCAGCTGTAAGTGAATCAGTTAATCAACTTGATATATAATTTGTTAATTGCATCAATTGTAAACATTATCATTAATTGATTGGGTGAAAATGCAAAATCAATAAATCACAATCACGTAATTATGATGATAACCATCATAATGACAATCAAAAAAATAAATAAATAAAATCTTTCACTAATTATATTATGATAACTTGAAGTATTATAATTATCTTTAATTAATTTGATAATTTACCTTGGAAACCCCAATGAAATAATAAAATGTTAATATTAATACGTATCGACAATTAAATAAACAAAACAAGAATCTTAATCATGAGAACTGAGTAAAAATAGTTTATCTTAAATTCATTATTATTATTAATCAGTGATCATCATGTTACTTTTTAATTTGATTCATATTTCTGAGCCATTGTGCAATCTAATTGTTGGAGTAATTAGTTTATGGTTAGTTAAATATCTTTGGTCAACAATTAAACGTATCCGATCATTACCACCAGGACCATGGGGATTACCTGTCGTTGGTTATTTTCCGTTCATTTGGAAACACAATTATCTTCAATTTGATAAACTTTCTCGACGATATGGAAAAGTGTTCAGTGTGAAATTAGGCCATTTAGATGTCGTACTTGTCTGCGATTGGGAGCATCTTAAGGAAGCGCTTGCGAATGACTCGTTACTTGGTCGACCTAAGGGTCTAATTATACCAGGGATAATTGATCATCCTTCGTTCGTCGAAATGTCCGATGAACCTTGGCGACATCATCGACGTTTATCATTACATGTACTTCGAGATGTTGGTTTTGGTAAAAGTGAATTAGAAACACATATTAATAGTGAGATCGATAATTTCTGTGATATTATTGAGAAGGAACCAGTTCGAGATTTTGTCCAAAAACTTTTACCAAGTATTTCGAACAATGTTTCCTTCTTACTTTTTGGACATTATTATGATCGAAATGATCCAGATAAGATTCTTTTAGACGATTCTATTATTAAATTATCGCCGAATGTTCAGTTTGCAGGGGTCGCAGTATTTTTACCTTGGATCGTTCGACTTTTGGTCATCTTTAAACGAGCCAATTTTGACCTTGTAGCGAAAGTTTTCAGATCATTTGATGAAGCGGTTCAGAAAGAAATTGACAAACATCAAGAAAGATATGAACCAGGTAGAGTCGTCGACTATATCGATGGATATTTGAATGAACAATCCAAGCGAAAGTCTCAAGATGATGGACTATTGTTCAACATCGATACTTTAAGACGAAATGTAAGCGGCTTTTTCGGCGCTGGAACTGAAACTGTAACTACAACCCTCTCATGGGCACTAATGTACCTGATCGTTTATCCAAAGTATCAAGATAAAATTTTCGAAGAAATTAACGAGGTTATTGGTTTTGATCGAAAACCAGATTATTCTCATCGTAATCGAATGCCAATAACCATGGCCTTCATTTACGAGGTTCATCGTTTGGGCTCCGTTTTGGCCTCTAATCTACTTAGACGAGCTACTTGCGATACTAAGATTGGTAATCATTCAATTCCCAAAGATACAATTGTAATCTTTAACTTCTGGTCAGTACATATGAATCCTAATCTTTGGGATAATCCGGAAGAGTTTAATCCATCTCGATTCTTAAGTGAAGATGGTAGCAAAGCCGTTAAGCCCCAGTACCTTGTACCTTTTAGCGGCGGAAAACGGATTTGTCCAGGTGAAAGTTTAGCTAATGTCGAAATCTTTTTGTACATTGTGTCGATAGTTCAAAGGTTTAAGATCAGAACCGAACCAGGAACTCGAGTTTCGTTAGAGGCCGATTTTGGACTTTCACGAAGACCCAAAGATATTCCAGTTCTAATTTTTGAGAAAAGATGATTTTCTTTTTCGTATATTAATTGTTACTCTTAATTGACACACGAAAATTTTTCATTATTATCTGATTGTTATTATCACAATAAAAGTGAAACCTTGTGATGTGTTAATTGTGTTACAAATTAAACAGAATCAATCTGAACAATTAACATTACGTCAAGAAGGTTATCATTAAATGTATTCATTATTAATATCCTAAATTGTGAACATACTCATGATTAGTAAATTGTGGCGATGAATATGATTAAATCCAATAGAAAGTGGAAACAACAGAATCAACCTTGAATTAATTAATTGTTGAGTTATAATTGTTACCATTATAATTATTTACAGAGGGTGAAATACAAAAGACAAGGTAAAAATTATCAACAAAATTTGTAATCGAAGGCGAGATTAAAATGTCTTGATCATGATTACAATGGAAACAGTTAATGATTACAATTAACTGTGATCAAATAATATCTATAATTAGCTGATTGGTTGATTCATAAATAATCATTGAACAGTTGAAAAGTTGCTGTTGAAATTGTGTTGATAATTGAATTGAGAAAAGTGAGATTATTTTCTCACAATTAAATAAATCAACGTGTTTGTTAAAGATAAAGTGAAAGTCCTTGCAATCAACTGATTGTCTTTCAATTCTGGTAATAACTTGGAATTGGGTGAATAGATGAATACAAGAGAGAAAGAAAGATGAAAATGAAGAAGAATATGAAGATAATGATGATGCAATGGGAAGAAAAGGTAAACAGGTAACTAAGAATTTTCCAGAGATGAGTAAGTCAGAATTAAGATGGAGATCAAGTTTTTTGCTCCTCATCATCTTCATCATCATTTTTCTCGTAAATAAGTTGATGATGATGATGAAGATGAAGATGAAGATGAAGATGATGATCCTGGTTACGCTGGTTCGACTTAGATGATTACTATGATCATCTTGTTTACAGTTTTCTCTCAAATTTCACCTTCAACCATGAAAAAGAATCCCAAACAAAACCCAAAGCAAATCCAAGATAACGATTGAATTGATTACATAATCAACTTTAAGTGCAATTAAATCAACGGTGTTAAAAGCCACAAACCAATTCTTATCTAACAATAACAATAATAATAATAATATCTAATCTCAATTTCCAACTGAAACTCATTGAGATGATCACAAACTGAACAATAAAACCGATCAAAAGCAAAATTCCAACTCAATGTAATTTCAATGGAACCAAAAAGAAACAAATCTATTCCAACCAACGAAAAACATGAGCCATTTCAATCTTTCCAATGATAGAAAAACAAACAAATTTGTTTGTTAACAAACAAAACGATTAACCAAATGATTGAAAAAAAAAGAATTTGAAAAAACTCACATTTGGCGCTCTTTTTATTGGGTAATTCGAAATTCGCCAGGGGGCGCGAGAGAAACAAAGAGCTGAGATTACGTGACACTGAGGCCATCTTGTTATTCACTCATTTCCTTTCATCTGCTGTAAGTCTGTTCTCATTTTCTGATTGTTTCTCTTTGTTCTCAGTTAAATAATTGTATTTGAATTGAACGTTTTTAATCAGTACTTCCTTCATAAAATTATCTTCGCTGTGTAACTCAAATTAATCAAATTTCTTTTTTATCTATTCCTATTTCTACGCTTCTTCTTACAAGCTTACAAGCTCCTTTGTGTGTGTGTGTGTGTGGATCATTTTTTTTTCCTCTCTCTCTCTATCTTTCTATTTGTATCTTTCTCTCTCTCTCTCTCTCTCTTCTTAGTCTTTTTTTCTCTCTCTCACTCTATCTTTTTTTCTCTTTTTTCTCTGTTTTCTTTCTCTGACCAACCTATATATCCATTTGGATGTACACTCTTCCATTTTCGACGACTGAAGGTGATTATATTTTATCTGATATTAATCCTTTAAACTGTGTCAAGAATGAGAGAAGAGATTGAAGCTGCTGTGATTTTTCTTGTTCGACTAATTGGTAAAAGTAATGCTCTGGTTGAAGAGAATTTAATCAAATTTCAAGATAATCTTGTTGAACTATTGGCTAAAAAATATGAGAATCACTGGTTTCCAGAGAAACCTAATCGTGGCCAAGCTTATAGGTGTATAAGAGTTAATGAAAGTGACCGACGAGATACTATCTTGGAAATAGCCAGTAAAATGTCTGGTATCAACTATGATGATCTCAGTTTACCAGTCGAATTAACTCTTTGGGTTGACCCTAAAGAAGTAACTTGTCGATTTGGTGAACATGAAGGATCTTATTGTGTTATTGCGTGTTTCAAGGATGGTAAAAGTGAGAATATTAGTGATAAAATAACCATTGATGCCATCGAAAAGGAGTATCTCAAGAAGTCAAAGCAAAATTCCTATGAATTTAATAATACACCTCCACAGAAGAAACAAGTGACCATGAATCGCCATGATAATAAAAATTTTGGAAAAAATCTCACCAATTCATCACCTGGAGTAGTACCTGTATCAACCAGTTCTGGATATTCAAATAGATTGGTGTCAAATTCAAATACAACTGAATTTTATACCAATCAATTAAACTGTAGTCCTCATCATTTTACTAACAGTCCTCCTCATCAATCGGCTCCTCACCGTTCAATGCATCATCCACAAAGTTTATTGGATACTGATTATCATCAATCAACCATTTCACCACTTAACCACAGTCTTGGTGGATTGCCATACCAAGTTAGTCCTGCTGACTTCGCCAACCAAGCTAATAACGCCAATAACACTAACTCTAATCTACTCTGTGGTAAATTTTCTCGCAGCGTTCGAAATACTTTTAATAACGTGACTTTTCCTACGGACACTTTTCAAACCCTCAATGATCGTTATTATTGGAAAAATAAGATGATTGTTAAAGCTTAAAACAAAACAAAAAACTTCATTTGGATGATACGTCTTCATACACGCATATACATATACATATACACATTACAAACAAAACAATTACACCATACAAATTAACCAACAACAACAACAACAACAACACAAATACACATACACATACACATTTACACACACACACACATTACAAATTAAATTGTTAATTTTAATTTCCAATAATTTTTATTTACGCTTTTAACACTCATCATCACACACAACAGTTCATCAACTAAAGGATTTATTTTGTTTTCCTCCTCTCTCTCTCTCTCTCTCTTACTCTTGTCGTTGTGTTGATCTTAATGATTTTTTAATCATTATTGTTCAGTTTTATCAACCATTTCATTAGGGGAGGTAATTGATTGAAGGATAGATTATTGATTCAAACCAGATTTTCATTCATTTACCCAACTATCGCCATCTTTTATTCACCTTTACTATCATTTAGAGTTTTTTGTTTTCTAAACATTTGTTTACATTTCGATAGATGGAACTGTCAACATTTAAATTGTTACATTTTTTGAGAAACAAACATTTTGCTAAAAGGATTTTCTTCATCTTCTTTTCAAAGGATTACCAGCTTAGTAGTAGATGAAAAGGATTAAAAGATTAACTGGTTTACTGTAAATTATTAGTCGTTTTTTTTGTTTTTTTTTCTCTTTTTTGTTTTGACAGAAACACCGTTTTAAATATTTGAGGTAAATGAGCAAAAGTGTAATCACCTCGGGGTGAATATTGAGAAAATGACACTTTCGGTTTAGAATCGAGAACTGACTTGATTGTTAATCCATTTGGGATAATCCGTTTGGAAAGATTATCTAACATGTTCCTTGGCTGGTGAACGATTTTTGACATTTTCTTTTTCTCTTTCGATTTTTCCTTCGAATTGGTCAACATTCGGACAATGTTCTAGTGATCGAATAGTTTCAATTTTGTGACCTCAAACATCGTGACTCTAAATTTAACAACGATCGTTATTTGAGAATAATGGAAAAGAGTAATTTGAATAATCTAAATGATGGAGAAACCATTACGAACATGATGTATCCATACCAATAGTGATTAACGATTAAGTGAATAATTAAGAAGATGAAAACTAAGAACAAGATGAAAGTTAATTGTGTTTTCCAATTTCCACCACGAAACCATTCAAGTTAATTGTTTTCTTTCTTGTTAACAATCAACCGTTTAACGTCCTAAATGATTATCATCTTTGAGATTTAGCTAATAATAGAATTTATGATCGCTGGTAAATTAGAGTTAATTTAATTTCGGTTAATTGGTGCTTCAAATTAATTATCGTGTTGATGTTGTTATTGATTCTCCAATGGATTTTGAGACTTTGACAATTATATTGGAAATAGGAAGAGACCGATTTTTTTTGTCAACTTTTGGTTCCATTGGAAGTTGTTTGTTTTTTTTTTAATTTTCTCATTATTTTGTTTTCTTCATTTAATTTCGAGTATTAATTGAACTATTTAGATCTGGATTAATTTAAATTGTTCTATTGTTATTTGCAGATTCGAGCATCGGTTGTGTAAGATTCGTTTTCATGATTAACCAATTGTTCACTTGGAGAAGAGTTTAATTTGTCTACAATGGATAGTTTTTCATCTTCGGTTGGATGCTAATTGTCCAGTAGATAATTAAGAAATTCATGAGATCTCTTCATGGCAATTATACTCCAATCAATTGGATGAATTTCTTGCAACAATGTGCTGGAATAGCCATGATTCGTTACAGAGGTCGTTTGATTTGGTAGAACTGAACTTTTCTGATTCGCTTCTGAATGACATTCGAAGCTTCAATTTAAAACGATATTAAATTGATTCTAATGGTTGACCAGTTGATTTGACCACTGGAAAGGAATCAAAATTGATATTAACAAAAGGCATAAGTTGAATATCAAAATTACCATAAAAGTGGATACAATTTATCCTTGTAAAGTTGATTTTTGTAATTATCAAACTGAACAATATCTTTGATTAAATGTTCATAATGTTGAATTAATAAATCACTGATATCTTTCTGTTTGATTGTACAATTTGGTTCATCATCTCCGTTATATTCAATAGGTTTTCTCTATGTTTTCTTTTGATCAAACTGTTTACCAATCAATTAATTCAATATTTGGGTAACCTTATTAACAATTAAATGAACAGCGTCGAGAAGGATCAACAATGAAAATCGCTAGAAAAAAACTTTCTCAAATTCACTCGAATATCAACTGATAGATGGAGCTGTTTTCGTCCAATTTTGGTTGATTGTTGAGAAGATTTTTAATTTTGATTGATCATCCGAATAATTCCAATCGTTGAAATCAATTATCACCGAGAGACTATGAAGACAAATGATGACAATTCCAATTCTTGAATACGAGAAATCCAACTGCATCCAGAGGCCGAATTTTCCAATCGATTTAGAAATGAATTTAAAGATCAATACGAGATCACAATCGTAATTGAATTTCAATCAATGGAAAATTAAATAACAGATTCATGATTAATTTCACCATTGAAATATTTCCATGGTGGAACCAGATATACATTGAGAGTAAATGTTTCCCTTTAACATGATGCAAAACTTAATTTCTATCACAACTCAGATGAGCTAATAATTGATAATCTAATTGGGAGACCTTAATTACTAATATGATAGACGAAAAGATATTTTTGATTTGCAACTTAATTGAAGAAGTCACTTTGTGATGAGAATCAACAACTAGATTTTCCTATGAATGAAAATAAAATGAATTAACTCAATTCTCCCCTGAAAACGAAACATTTACACTCAACTGAGTGGAAATATCATCATTTGTCTTCATCATCTTTAGACATTTCGATCTACTTGAGTGAATTTGAAAACAAAATTCTATTTAATTAGAAAAGATGACAACTATTTAAGTCCAATTTTACCTCATCGAAAATTGTCCTATTCGATTGTGACAATTTACCCGTTCGATTTATTGATTTTATCTCTTCCATCCCAGAGAAATGATCATCATTCAGATGAACAAAACTGTCAAAACATCGAAAAGAACAACCTTCAGGTCACTAAAGGTCAATGTCAATTGTAAATTCGATTTACTATAATAATATTTTTCTATTTCGATAACAATTAATCGAAAAGTTGAATTTCTTTCGGAAAATTTGATGAAATTTCTGTCAACAAATCGATTGACTATTTCTCTTATTGTTAATCATCAACAATCTCTATGAGATCATCTATAATAAATATGAAATTTATCTCGAAATTAACTAATTGCTGTGTTAATCATTTGTAGAGGAACAACAATCAAACTTATTGACACAAATACTTGAAAATTTTGTCAACATTGAAAAACTAATTTCTCCCAATCTAATGGATACTATTAATACATATTATTAAACAAAAAGTAATCAACATCATCCTAATTGCTGTTTGATGTAATTTAAGTGCAATTAAGTCACATTGTCTCATGAAAAGTTATCCTTTTGTTTCAAGTTGACTTCTCATCTCAATTGGTGAGCTACATTCAGGTTAATTATAATCCCATCTAAAGGAAGTCAAGAACCAGACAGTAAATGATTGTTAGAAATTAACAATTGAGTTAACAAGATGACAATTAAATATCGTGTCAACTAATTACCATTTTCATTCAATCAACAGTTGAATAAGTTTTGCAGAGAAACAATCAATAAATTACAATAATAGGAATCATCAAATACTCACGAAAAATATAATAACTAATTAAACAAATTGTCATCAATCTGGATGATGATTATTACAATTGAGTTAATCTATTAACAAATCAATTAATCCTTAACTATATTGTTACAAGATAATGGAAACAATTAAGAGACAAAATCATTGAGTAATAAAATTTGTACCTGTAAACTTAATCAATGAAAAAAAAACCGTTAATTTGATCAGCCATCACAATTTCATAATATCATCATTATTATCGTAATTAACAAACAATCAATCAACTAATTCAATAAAAATGATGATCATTATGATACAAAAAAAAAGGTAAACAAATTAAAAATGAAAAGGTAACAATCAAGACATCAAACGCGAAAGGACAAATCAACAACACAATTAACCTGCCCATGAATAAGAGCAGTTAATGAACTTGATTATCATCCTTAATTATGGTTAATTATATGTTTAACAAACTAATTAAATAGTAATAATAACAACAATATAATACAAGATACAAGAAAAAAATGAATCTCCAGAAAAAGTGATTAACTTTTACTTAACATCCTCTTTTTTGATAGTCGTTGGATTGACCTGATTTAAATTAACTAATAACAATTTAAGTTGTTGATGATCAATTTTGATGATTACACCAACAACAACGATGATAATTAATTGTCCATAGTGAGTTCAATTAGTAAATTGTTAACTTTATAAACCGGTATACAAATAATAATAATACTTTCCCTTGATCACTTTGCTTGTATTAAATTGTTATGAAAGTTTTCAATTGGAAAATAATATCACAATTAACAAATTAACCAAGTTGATTGCAATTAGATAATGATGATAATAATATTATTATTATTAGAAATTAGATCGAGAGTCTTATATACATCAACAATTTAAATTGTAAAATAGTTTAATAGCAATTTAATCTTGAATAATAATCTATATATCTAAATAATATTTTTAGTTAGAAAATGAAAATTGATTACAATTTATACCGGATTAAGAGTTAATCATAATTTTTAGATTGTTATGATTATCATTTACAATTTAAAGCGATACAATTTGTATGAAACCGTTGAAAACAGGACAGAAATTGATCACGTTTAGTTAATTGTGGCTTCTAAATAGTTAATAGTAGTTGGACTTAATCTAATTTAGATTATGACATGGATTGTAAGTAATTTTTTAATTAGATCGAAATTAAAAGTTTTTCTAAAAACATTCAATGGTTAACCATAAGATCGTAATCATAATCATAATCATCTTAATCAAGATGACATTTTATCTACATCAAGTCTTTTTCTGTCTATTCAATCTTAATCAGCGAGAATTTATTATAATTTAAACTGGATTAACGAATCAAATCAAGGAATGATTAAAATTATCAGTTGATTATTTTTGGAAAAGGAAAAAACCAACAATTTATAAAACAGTAACAACTTTCATTGATTCATTTTTTTGTTGTTGTTAATTTTATCATTTAAGAATCACTGTTGACGATGACAATTAAGCTTCTGGCAATAAACAGATCATCATGATGATGATCATCATCATCATCAAAATGATAATTAACTTTGCTTGCGATTCCAATAAAGTAAACAACTTGATAACTTTATATTCATAACAATGAAGGTAAATAAGTTATGATAAATTTTCATTCATTAACAGGAAACATTAAGATTGTAATGATTTAGTGGTTTAATTTAAAGTTTATGATTAAGATGATAATTATGATTGACCAGTTTGAAAAGGGCTAATTGTTTATAATAAAAAAAAGGGAAAAGGTAATAATCAAATTTGACGTTATAATGATTAGTAAATAATAAAAAAAAAGGTTATCATAATAATGATGAGAGGGAGAGATGATGAAGATGATTAGGATGAAGATGAAGATGAAGTGGTCAACGATCTCTATCATCTCCATCCTCATCTTTTCATCGATATCCGTGTGTTTCCCTCCCTCTTTCACCTCCTCCTCCTCATCATCTTCATCTTCATCTTCATCTTCATCCTCCTCCTGAAGGTTCAGTTGAGAAGAGTAAAAAATTGTTTGTATACAAGTTTATCTTCATCTCAATTGGAGGAAGATGATGATGATGATGATGGGGAAGGTTAGCCCCAAGTTTAAGGTGAGTGGGTCAGTGAGAGAGAAAGAGAAAGAGGGAGATAGAAATTGTGATGAAGATGAAGAGAAACAAATTTCAGAATAATTTGTTATAAAATGTTGGGGCAAAAGTCGATAGATACTCATTTGAAACATATGATCGGAACGCAAGGTTAGTCTTTAAATTTGGACCTAATTCACTTTCGTTTGACTTTTTTTTACCGTTAGTTTGATTTTCACCATTAATTGTGTCAATTGTGTCAATTAAACAGCGAATTAGTTTTTAATTATCTTTCTCTCTCTCTCTCTAATAATTAATATAAAATCTTCTTCACCCTCAATCAAAATGGGCGGAAAAAAGCCCAACATGGTAAGTTTTAATTTCTAATTTCGATTCTGTTTTATAATCCAATTGATTGATTGATTTTTCTTTGTTTTTTTGTTTGTGTCAAATTGGATCAAATTTAGACGAGAGCTTTATTATTATGTTTCCTAGTCCACAATTTAGCTGTTAGCTTAGTACAATCAAAGGAATACTCAGATCCAATTAGTTCTGGATATTCAGTGGCTTTACCTTATTCTTCACCATCATCATCTTCATCATCATCATCATCAGCAACTTCTTCATCATCATCTTTAATTGCTTCATCATCTTCTTCAGATTCATCACTATCATCACCATCATCTTCATCTTCTGGTATTGATGAACTTCAAAGTGCTGCTCAATATCAATCACCAACCTACACCAATGGACCAGGGGTCAATAGTGTCGCCTCTTCAGTTTATTCTGGTGTTGAACCAATGGGTGTTTCTGATTCACAAAAACAGAATTACAACAATTATGGTTTGATTCAACAACCACCGCCTCAATTACAATACCAAAACCAATACCAACAACAACAACAACAACCAATTTATCAACCATCAAATTACGGCGAAAATCAGAATCAACAGTATAACAATTACGATCAACCCCAACAACAGCAATTTAATTACGGTGAAGGAAGTGGTTACAATCGAGACAATTCAAACTCTCAAAACTCTGGCTCTCAAAATGGCAATAAGAAAACCGTTATTCTAGCAATTCCTGTTAAATTGGCCTTACAAATTCCCGAAAATAAGAATAATAATAATAATAATAATAATAATTATGGTAAATATTAAATTCTAATCCAATTTTTGATTGTCTTTTCCATCAAATTACTTGATACAATTTTCTTTCTATTGTTTCAATATTGTTTTATCTCCTTGTTCACCTTAGATGATAAACGCCAGCAAAGTCAATCCAATTCCCAATCAGCTCAAAGTTACTCAAGTGTTGGAAATAACAATTCACCAAATTATCCACCTCCTCGTGCTTATGATGGTATCAAGGGAGGTTATAGTGATAATGGTGCTAACGATCAGCAAAAGAACAACGAATATCGAGCTCCAGTTTACAATCCACAATCATCTTACGAAAGTTCAAATTCTCCATCTCAAAGTTATTCATCACCTTCATCTTCATCTTCATCATCACTATCCTCATCTTCATCCTCTGGTAAAAGTTCATCATCTCGAGATTCAAATCAATACGATTCTCAACAGAAAGATGAATATAAAAACTCTGGAATCTCATCTGGAAATTATCCTTTTGTCCAAACGAAAGAATCAAATCACAAGAGTAAATCATCACAATCGTACGGAGGTCAATCAGATTCTAATTATGGTTCTAATAAAGATTCGAGTAACGATAATGAGGGTTTCGATGATAATGAACAACAAAGTTACGAAGGTTCGTCAAAGGGAAGTGATTCTTACAAAGGAAACAGTTATAACCAAAACAAAGATGATTCTTATTCATCTTCTCCTGGTTCATCTTCCTATGATGATGATAATAATGATGAATCTTCAGGCTATTCAAAATCTTCGAAAGGTAGTAAATCAAAATCATCTTCATCATCCTCATCACCATCATCTTATTCTGATGGTGATCCAGCTAATTATGAGAAATCAAAGGTCAGTGAATATCCTTCCCTGACAAGTTCATACGATGGCGATCAAGACGATTGGCAATCAGGTTATTCTGGTGCTCTAAGTTCAGGTAAAAGTGGAACCAAGGGAGGAAATAAGAATATCAAATTTGACCTTTCCTCTTATTCCAACGAGGATTCAAGCGATGATTCAGATTCTAAGCCCGATACTGCATCAATTAAAGCAGCTCTTGCCAATTATGGTTCACTTAAGGGTAGCTCATATGATAGTAATTCCGGTTCCTCTGGAATTAAAGTAATCAATGATTATTCAGCTCTTAAAGATTACGATGGTTACAAAGATCTTAGCTCATTATCTTTGGTAATGGTGGTGGATCAAAGGATTACGGTACTTCCTTGAAGGATCTTTCCTCTCTCAAGGATTATACTTCAATGAACAAAGATCAGCCCAAGAAATTTGGTTCTTACGATGGTTCAGATTCTCTTGACGATTATGATTCAGGTTCATCTTCATCAGGTCACCTTAATTCTGGTCTATCATCATATTCAACTGGCTCAGATTCGTCCATCTCATCTTACGATTCATCATCATCAGGTTTATCCTCTCTTCGTCCTTCCAAATTTTCCATGGACGATTCTTCTTACAGTTCACTCTCTTCCGGTTCTTCATATGGTTCCTCTGGATCAAATGAACCATCATATGATATCTCATCCCTTTCCGGTTCCTCTTCATTAGGTGAATCTTCATCAAGTGGATCAAATTATCCATCAAATGATGTCCTCAGCTCATTGGGTAAAAATCCGTCAACATTTACCGTTTCCGATGCTGTTAATTTACCTGAAAGTGTTTCATCTTACTCAGGTTATTCACCATCACAAATGAACTTATCTCCATCTTATGGTTCATCAGCTGATGCCGCTGTTGCTGCTTCTGCAGTTGCCGCTGCCACAGCTTCATCATCACCTTCAATTCAATCCTCAGGCTTACCTCTATCACCTCTCAATGGTGATGGTTATGGTTCAAGTCCACCTCTCGATCTCTCCTCTCTCTATGGATCCATGATGAAATCATATTCCTCTCCCTCCCTGTATCCCTCACCACCCAGATCTCCAATGCCAATTCCTTACCATCTACCAGGTCAAATTCAAATCCACGCTCTTCACCCTTACCAAAACGGAGCAGCATTTGCACCAGCACTTCCAGGTCGCCTTCCACCCTACGGAATAATGTTCGGTAAACCAAACAACAAACCACCTCCACCACCACCATCAAAGCAAAGCTCAAATCCTTGCAGAGGATTATCATCAGTGACATCACCTCTCGCCCTGTACAAGGTAAAATTTTAATTCTATCAAATAATCAATCAAATAAGATTACAAAATATTTATAAAGTTTATCCAAGAAAAAAAACTAATAATAATAACCAAGAAATAAGATAAAGAAAAATCCGTATCACTAATCCATCTTATCAATCAATTGAAAAAAATTATACTAAACATTGAAAACAATCAAATTATCAAAAAGTTTCATATATTTATGAGTAGAAATGCCCACAGGGCAAAAACAAACAAAAAACAATCACCAACAAGTTCAATTCAGGACAATAAACTCATGACAAATGTTATATTTATAAAGACAGTTTAACCTTAAAAACAACAACAATCTAATAATGATAATGATAAAATGATGATGATTATAAATCATATTAATAGCAATCAAGTAGAAAAAGAATGATAGAGAAAAAAGAATCAATCAATTTGATTATCATCATTAGATTATCATGATGAAGAAAAAAAAACAACAACAGAAGATTCAACAAGAAAAGGGATCAGAATTTATCGTTAATTCCTGAATTTCTTATTCTCTTTCTTTCTCTCTCTCTCTCTCTCTCTCTCTCTCTCTCTCTCTTCAATTCAGTGTCTCCAAGGATTATCGTCAATCAGTTCTCCAGGTAAATTCAGTGCTACTTCACTTCTCAGTTCATTATATTCATCAGGCTCATCTCCGGCTAAATTCATTCTGAAACCAGGTAAAAGTTCAGGTCTTCTTGGAGGTAAGTTATTCTAATCTACTAATTATCCTGGAACAACTAATTAACTTTGCTGTTTACCTTTTTCTTAAGGTCTCCGTTTATCATCAGCCGCATCCAATTTATCACCAACCATCTCAGCCCCACCTTCATCATCATCAAGTAAAAAAACCTCATCATTTTCATCCCCATTCAAATTAGACAATATTTTTGGTCAAGTTTTTAAACTCCTTTGAGTTTAGCATCCTCATCACTAATCATCTCTCTCTCTCTCTCTCTCTCTCTCTCTCACTCTCTCACTCATATAAACGTCAAATTAAATCATTAATTGATTTTTAACTTGGTCGAAACAAAAACTTTTTTTCATTTTGTCTAATTACAATTTGCCAAATTAAAGTAACTATCATTTTGGACGCTTAATTTAATTGAATCAATCTAATTGTCAAACCATTGATTAGATTGATTATTTTGTTAATCTTTTTGTTTTTTGAACACAAATTCAAAATTTATTATTCAATATTTTGGTTTAATCAACGACCCACCCTGAAAGTCAAGTTGATTTAATTGTTTGTAAACTTTGTTTTCAAAGTTTCAATTAAAAGTTAAATCAACTTTACCCCCAAATAATCAAAGGTAATCAAATCTAATTGTAACTATTAATATTATAAATCGTTGTAATTAACTTCTGATAATAATAAAATGATATCCATTCAAATTTGTTTGCTTCAACTTTAATTCATTACCTTAATTTACCTTAATCACTTGCAATTAGCTAATCATAAACAAGATTATCTAAATATATATATCTAGATATTAATACACTTAATCTGGTTGACCTTATAGTGACCTGGATACAAAGTTTAATTGAGAAATTAGTTAATCACTTTGAGTGAAACTGATTGATTACTTGATTATATTATCTATTTGATTAGTTGTCAAGTTGATCAGTTGATAATCAAGTAAATCATTTTTTATATTTCATTATTTTGAATGTTAATTATTTTCACCATACAAACAGAAATGATAAAATAAACCAAATTAAGTTAATCAACCATTTAAATGGTTAACAATTTATAAATAAAGTTGAAGGTTACGTTTAATTATATTAAAATTAATGTTGTTGACATAAATGAGTTTACTGAGCAATCAAAGTTAATTGTGAACAGTTAGCAAGTTAAATCATAACGGAACCACAAAAAAATTAAGCTACAATTAGTCAACGTTAACCATTAACCTTGACCAATCAATTTTAATTTACTTTATTTAACCAAAAAAAAGTTAAATTACTTTGTTGATTTGGTTAATTTTAATATAGTCACACAATTTACGCTCATGATTAGCAATTTAAAGTGACAATAATGATACAGAAATAACTTTGATTATTTGATTCTTAATTGTTGATGATTTATATTACAATTTAAAGGAAGAAAAAAAAATATAATAAAAGTTAATCAATCTCACTTATTTTATTAATAATTTCCTTTGATTTATTGGTTAATTTAGCAATTATCAACTATCAACAAGGTAAACAATGATTTATCCAACTAATTAAATCTTAATCCTAACGCCTGGAGGTGAATTGGTGGTGATTTAATTTCCAAATCTGGTGAATTAAGATTAAGATTATGAGGTATACACTTTCAATCTTAATCAAAGCAACAATTTAGGTCTTCTAATATCATCATGATGATTCATTAAATTTTATTATTATTGAAAATGAAACAATCATGAGATAATCTCAACATGATTAAGATGAGATATAATCAAGTAAGCAACTTGGATAGTAAAATAATCAAATGATGAAGGAAAATGTTTTTTTTTTAATCTAAATTTAATTTTCTTTTCTCATTCCCTTTCATCTAATTCTGATGATGATGAAGACGAAGATGAAGAAGATGATGATAATGATGATGATAATACGGCCCTTCAAGGGTGGAAAGATGTAGATGAAGATATATATATTATTTCACTCGTTGATTACTCTCAGTGAAGGTGATCCCCTTTGGTAAGGTCAGTAGGTCTGTATGTTACTCATCATCTTCATCATTTTTATCATTCTCTCTCCATCCTCATCCTCATCCTCATCATTTTCATCATGTTAGCTTTCATTTTAAGCTTATTGGCCCTCCGGGGAAGTGTTAAAAACAGGTAACCACCACCTTCGTCATAATATAATATAAATCGTTCCTGATCATCTGATAATATACAGGTTATTATCATTATTATTATTTAAAATGAATGAGGATCAAATGATGATGATGATGATGATGATTAGTAGGATGAGGATGATGTCGACTTCATAGGATATAAGTTTAATTTTCATTCTCAACAATCAAGCTCAACAATCAGATCACGTTGGTATCTATTCAGTTTCTAAATATAGTAAATATTATTACACATAAAAAAAATAAGATTGATTTATCAACTTTAAATCATGATAGTTAAATCTAATAGTTAATTAAAAATCAGGTCAATAAGTGAATCTTTTTTTTCACAGCAAGAGTTACAATTAATTTTAATCTTAATCATTTGTAGCATCATTTTCATTAGATTTCATGAAAGCTAAATTGTTTGGGATGCTTTTTACTTTTGCTCAACAATTAACTTTTTTTGGTTTACCGTTAATCATTTAGTTTTAATTGGTGGAAACTTTTTGTTTTGTTAAATCAATTGTATCGAGAGATGAGATTGTGATTAATTGATTTACTTAATTTTTGTTAATTAATCTTTTCAAGGTTAATCAAATTATCTGCTTTTTTGTTGATTGTTGTTGATCATTTAGGGTTAATTTGTTGGTTAATTATATTATTTACTTTTGATCAGTTTTTGTGTGTTCCTTTTGATTGAGATGATCATCTAATTGTGATTAGTTTGATTTAGTTTGTTGATCGTTTCATTTTATTTTATTGATGAACAGTTTTCACTTTAATTGTCAAATTGATTTGATTAGTTGATAATTTATTGATTCCTCTTTAATTATTATATCACAAGTCTATCAGGATGTTTAATTTATGACACACTTTTTGATTGTGATTTAAATTATTTCAACAATCAACAAATAGCTGAATGATTAACTTAACAATTTAACGAATCACTTTATTTTTGTAATTCTTTTCTTCAATTGTATTTGTAACAATTAACATCAATCATTACCAATTGATTTGTTTATCATGATTGATCATCAACATCCAAACTATATAATCATCACTAATTACTAATGATTTATATAAATTGTCTTAGAGATTTAAATTTATTGTTGATTCAACAATTGATTGTACACTAAATTTAGAATCAACAACTTCTATTGATAAAGTAACAATTCAGTTAATTATATAAGACAATTAGAATTTATTAATTTGTCAATTTATTGTTTCCAATTACTTGTTCAGTTTAATATATTAACAATTAGGTTAATTAGTTGATTGTCAGCGTTTCAAATGTTAGATTTAAAATTGATTTGATTGTCAATGTTGTTTGCCCATTGATTGTTATTATTATTTTTGGTAAATATTTTATTGTTAACTGAGTTAATTGTGATTAGTTATTTAAAGATTGAGAAAAATTGATTTACTCAATTACTCTAATTGTGGTTATTTCCTGTTCTCACTTTAATTGTTGCTATAAAAGGTCAACAATTTAAGGTTAATCAAGGTTAATGGTCAAAGTTAAGTGTGAAAAGTTAATTGTGATGATTAAATTTAAATCGGAGCAAAAAAATTTAAACCATTAAACAACAGTTAATCATATTGATTAACAAGAGATGATGGTTATTGATTATAATACAAATGAGTATCAAATTTTGATTGGTAATGATTAACAAGCTGATCAAATTAACCAACATGTTTACAATCAACTTTTTTTTGCTTTTGTTTGATTTAAATTGTTTATCTTAATCCAGTTCAATTTGAAAAGTTGATTGTATGAAAAAAAATGATATTTTCATGGTTACAATCAACTTGATCAAATATCTAACCACTCAGATTACAATTAACTTTCAATTGTTGGTGATTAAATTTCAAATTGTACTCTTAATTGTTGGATAATGATATTAATTGTTATGATAAACATTATTATTATGTTGAATAAGTAAACAAGACTATTAGATTGTTTAATTAATCATGAGATAATTAATATTGATGATTAGTTAACTGGTCAATATGATAAATGATCAAGTGAGATAATCAAAGGTTGGTGACACTTTAATTGTTGCAATTAGAGTAATCAATTAACCAAATGCGTAAAAAATTAACCTTCAATTGCTTCAAACTATTAATAAATTTAGCCTGAAATGATTGCAAAGTGATGATGTTGATTGATATTATAATTTCATCAGCTCATCATCATTAACAATTAATTGTTAATCAATCAATTAACTGATCATATCTTAAATTGTTTCCTAAATAATAAACAATTACTCTTTCTGATTGTACTAATATTTAACAGTAAAAGAAAATATCAATTTAAGTGTTTAAATTAATCATCAAATCAAATGGTATCATTAACCAACATCTAAACAATCAAATTAAACGATTATATTTATTGTAACAATTAAACAAAATGATCAATTAATTTATAAATATAATAATTGATTTCCAATCAAAGATCAATAAACTTTTTTTTTCCCAAATTCGTTAAACAATTAAACTAATCATCCATATAAATTGTTTCTCTCAACCTAAATCATCTCAATGTTAGTGTTGATTGTTAATCAATAAAACGTTTAATTGGATTAAAAACTAATTTGGATTAGTTTAATTGTTCGTAACTTTAGTTGATTAAATTTGGAATTTATGGTAAATTGAATTTCGCGGGTCAAGAACAAAAGATCCACCGGGAGGGGGCGACAAAGAACTTTTGTAAACTCCCATTGGAATTTTCTTGTTTAAAAGTTTTCCCTTGATTCTGAAAACGGTTTAATTATTGTTTCGATTTGATTAATTAATTAATTAGTTTCCGAGTGTTTTTTTTTTCTTATTGATTTTTGTTCTCTGTGTGTTCCCAACATGAAAATTACTCTAATTTTCTGTGTAATTTTTTGCCTTCACCTGAGTTTCGCTTTTGGTTCTATTCTTTTTGGTGGTGGAGAAAATGGAATCAATTCTGTCTCTGGTTCTTTTAAAGATATTCTTGTCGATGAATGGGAAGTATTTAAGTCACAATTTAATAAACGATATTCCAATGAGACTGAAGAATATTTCAGGATGAAAATCTTCTTGGAAAATAAGCGTAAAATTGCCCGTCACAATGTTCGAGCTGCTAATGGTATGCATTCATATCATTTGTCAATGAATCATTTCGGTGATCTCTTACACCATGAATTTGTCACCCTAATGAACGGTTACAAGGCTCATCTTCGTCTTCATATTTATAATGCTACAACATTCTTGACCCCACATCATGTTTCACTTCCTAAGTCAATCGATTGGAGAGAAAAGGGTTATGTCACCGAGGTTAAAGATCAAGGACAATGTGGATCATGTTGGGCTTTCAGTTCAGTGAGTAGAATTTTATTTAATATTCTATTCTCTTTTGCTGATGTTCTTTTCTCTGATGTTTATTTTTAAATCTTTTCTTTTCTTGTTTTTCTTGTTTTCTCTCTCCAATTAGACTGGTGCTCTTGAAGGACAGCACTTTAGAAAAACTGGTAAAATGGTTTCTCTTAGTGAACAAAATCTTGTTGACTGTTCAAAGAAATTCGGTAACAACGGTTGTGAAGGTGGACTCATGGATAACGCTTTCTCTTACATTCGACATAATCATGGTATTGATACCGAACAATCTTATCCATATTTAGCTCACGTAAGTTTCAATTGATTTAGATAAAATTAGCTTGAAAAAGCAAAATTTAATCTCAACAATTTATAATATACATTGACTCTAACAAAGAGAATCAATTGAATCTTTCCAATCCAATTGCCTAGAGAATCTTTCTCTCCATCTTCATCTCATTCACTGCAGTTGATTATTGTTGATAATTTTAATTGACCACATTAAATTGTCAGTATTAATTTCACTCAAATTTATCATCTCTTTGGTAATCTTATATGTAATGTGTTTCTCTCTCTATCTGTGGGAAAATTTTGAGAACTGTTGATAATTTTGGATGCGTGATTAGGATGTTATTGGTAAATAATAATCACTTATTTTCAATCATCTGATTGAAATCTCTTGATTGGCTCCATGTGATACATTTCCCTCTAAATAATAACATGATTTGTATTGAGAAAGTGATACAAGATTAAGTAGTTTTCATAATATCTTAGATTGGATTTGATTAATTTTTGTTTACTATTAATTGAATTTGATCTCCTTGTGAGGTACTTGACTTTTCTTTGTTTATCAAGCTCATCTTATCATCTTTACTTTTTTCTTCCGTCTCTTTCAACTAATAATGAATTTCTGAATCTTCGAGAAATTTATGATCATGATAAGAAAAAAAATAGGTTAATTGTTTCACTTTTAAACTCCATCTTAAATGATTGTTAAATCATTGCCGTGATTACCAATGGTTTAGATCATTTCTCATCATAAATCGAAACAAATTGTTTAGTTTATTAAAACTCTTGCCAACAATTTAGCTAAATGATATTTGATTACAATTTATTAATCACTAGATGTCTCTAGTCTGATCATCTCAAGTTGAGATTCTCAACATTTACACTTAATCATGTTGACTTAATTGTGTAAAGAAATCATAATTTGATCCACCAATAATTACAAGGAAAACTTTAAATATGATACATATTTGAAATGTGATCAAATATTTTATAAAATGATTACTGATGAATTTTACCTTTAATTGTAATTAATGAACTAATTTCTTTTTTCTTTTTTTATTCAGAATGGTAGATGTCATTTCCATCCAAAAGATATCGGAGCAACTGATAGTGGATTCGTTGACATTGATGCTGGAAATGAAACCAAATTAATGGAGGCCATTGCTACCGTTGGTCCAGTTTCCGTTGCTATCGATGCTAGTCATGAATCTTTCCAATTCTATTCCCATGGAGTTTATGATGAAAAAGAGTGCAGCTCAGAAGATCTTGACCATGGTGTTCTTGCTGTTGGGTATGGAACCGATGCTGAAGGAAACGACTATTGGATCGTTAAGAACAGTTGGTCCGAAAAATGGGGAGAAAAGGGTTACATTAAAATGGCTCGAAACAAGAAGAATCAATGTGGAATTGCTTCATCTGCCAGTTACCCGTTGGTCTAATTAAACACAATCAGATTTTCAACAAACATTCATATATATTGATCATACTCAATCGAAAAGAATATATATTTTTCTCTTTCAAATTTCCAAAGCAAAGCCAATGATTTAGACAAAGAATTTAAAAAATTCATTACAATTAAACTCACCCGACTTACTATATATATTTAATTAGCTGTAAATTGGTCAACAAACTAAGTTACAGTTAAATCAAACTTAAAATTGAACAGAAAATTATGTAAATGCTTAAATTTTGATAAAAATTAAAAACATTTATTGTAATGAGAAAAACCAATCCATCTCCTAATAATTAGTATACAAATCACTTCAACAATTAAATTAATTTCTCTTCTTTTTGATTTCAGAATCAAACAACTTAAATTGTGATTAAATTGCTTGAAAAATTACTGGAAAATGATGAACAATCAATGAATTGGATGTGATTTAAAGCCGGTCAAGGGGTTATTAGCCTGATGATTGAATAGATTTGTCTAAATTGATCATTAATACAATTGAAATTAAATTTAATTGAAAATCACATGTATTCATCAATTAATCTAAAATTTCTCGATAACTAATAACAATAAATCAAGAGAGAGCCATGAGTCACTTCAGCTGAAAAACAAACCCAAGAGCAATTTATAGGTGCTTGTCAATCAATATAAACTATTTTGTTATTCACCGCTTTATTTTTATTTCTTATTCTTACCTAAAATTTGTGACTCTTTGATTAAGTGTAAATCAATAAAGAACAACAATTAAAAGTGAAACGACAAGTACAATCCTTAAAATGTCTAAGCTTTACAAAATGTTTAATGTCCAAGAAAGGCGAAATTGTGAGATATCCAAAGATGAATATATTAGATTAGCAAAAATCTCTGGTGTTGAGCAAGTAAATATTCCAATATGTGTGAATCCTACAGAATTTCTTAAAACCAATATGGTGGAGGATGGAAAGAAAATTGGTAACTGGGCGATAATATACTTCTTTGTCGACAAGAAAAATGGAGTTTACCCTCAACTTTTCACCGAGCAAATTCTATGGGAAAATCAATGGAGCCAAGATGAGGTTAAAGATGTCCGAATAACAGATTACTCGATTGACTGCTATAGAGTTGAAATCCGAATGCTAATACAAACAAGAAACACTTTGGCGAAAAATAAAGACTTGATGGTGAACTTCAGGGAGCAGATTTATAAAGCAATGGATATGGATGGTATTAGACTCGACTCATTAAATTCGATAACTGATCTTAAGATTGAAATGAGTCGCTTGAAACATTGTGAAAATTACAAGCATATTATTTTCTTTGAGGCAAATGATGATCACAAATCTCCAATTCTTAAAAGTAAAATGGTGACTGAAGATCTAAGGAAAGGTCAATTAAAATCCTTTCGATTTTCCCTCTCATTAGAATAGGTGGTGAGATACCTGAGGATGTTGTCTCTTCTCTCTTCTCTCTTTTCATTTCCTTTAGCTTTCTTTTCAATCATACTATTCTACTTCCTATCTTATCATCTTAACTCTTCTTTGAATCCCTCTCTTTCTGGTTTAACTCTCACCTACAATCAAATAATCAAATCATGGATAACGCTTTCTCTTAAATTCGACATAATCATGGTATTGATACCGAACAATCTTACCCATATTTGGCTCACGTAAGTGTTTCTCTCTCTCTCTCTCTCTCTCTTTCTCTATCTGTGGGAAAATTTTGAGAACTGTTGATAATTTTAGATGCGTGATTAGGATGTTATTATTATCATGATGTTATTGGTAAATAATAATCACTTATTTTCAATCATCTGATTGAAATCTCTTGATTGGCTCCATGTGATAATTTTTTCTCTGAATAATAACATGATTTGTATTGAGAAAATTGTTACTGATTAATTTTTACCTTTAATTGTAATCACTGAACTAATTTTTTTGTTTCGTCTTATTTTATTTAGAATGGTAGATGTCATTTCCATCCAAAAGATATCGGAGCAACTGATACTGGTCTTGATGGTCTGATCTTGACCATGGTGTTCTTGCTGTTGGGTATGGAACCGATGCTGAAGGAAACGACTATTGGATCGTTAAGAACAGTTGGTCCGAAAAATGGGGAGAAAAGGGTTACATTAAAATGGCTCGAAACAAGAAGAATCAATGTGGAATTGCTTCATCTGCCAGTTACCCGTTGGTCTAATTAAACACAATCAGATTTTCAACAAACATTGATATATATTGATCATACTCAATCGAAAAGAATATACATTTTTCTCTTTCAAATTTCCAAAGCAAAGCCAATGATTTAGACAAAGAATTTAAAAAATTCAGTACAATTAAACTCACCCGACTTACTATATATATTTAATTAGCTGTAAATTGGTCAAAGCACTAATTTATAGTTAAATCAATGATAAAATTGAACAGAAAATTATGTAAATGCTTAAATTTTGATAAAAATTAAAAACATTTATTGTAATGAGAAAAACCAATCCGTCTATTAATTAGTATACAAATCACTTCAACAATTAAATTAATTTTTCTTCTCTTTAATTTCAGAATCAAACAACTTAAATTGTGATTAAATTGCTTGAAAAATTGCTGGAAAATGATGAACAATCAATGAATTGGATGTGATTTAAAGCCGGTCAAGGGGTTATTAGCCTGATGATAGAATAGATTTGTCTAAATTGATCATTAATACAATTGAAATTAAATTAAATTGATAATTTTTCACCTCGTAATGATGATGAAATTAATTGTCTTCCGGGTTCACATCAAGTTTTCCTAGAAAAAATATTCAATAACCAGACAATTAACTAATTTTGTGATTAACAATTTCCGTTGTTTAAGAGTGTAAAGTCATCATGGATACAATTTAACATCACAATTAATTTAATCACAATCATTTTCCTAACGGTTGACCCAGAATCATGATAATAATTGATCAACAATCAACGATGGTCCAAGATGAAAACCAAACCCAATTAAATTAGTGAAAATCAGACATGAGTCAAACATGATTAAGTATAAATATAAAACTAGATGATAGTTAACTATTATTATTAGTTAATTGTAACTGTTACAATCAATCCACATCTAAATTGTTTCAACAATTGAAAGTCCAACTCACAAAAAAAAGGATAAACTAAAAAGCCAAAACAATGATTTCACCAATTGTCAAATTGATTTTACTATCAACCGTTTTAACAGTAATTAATTGTGATCCTTTACCATCATCATCATCATCATCACCATCAACCTCACAATCAACAGCATCCTCATCTTCATCTAAATCAAAGATATCAACTGATTTAGTTCTTGACGCATTTGAATTGTTCCGCCGATTATTACAAGAATCATCTGTTGTCCAGTCGGAAATTGTGACCGGTAAAACCGAGAAAGATTCAACTGACCACACAGTTTCTCATCATCATCATCACCCTCACAATGTCCATTCATCTTCATCATCTTCATCATCATCTCCTTCCGTCTCTACACCGGTCCAATCCTCGAATGCTCCCTCACACTATTCACCTTTACTCCGACTTGACCCTCTTGTACTGACCAATCCAATTGTCCACGAAGTTCGAGATGTTAAATCTCCCACCTTGGGTAAAATCGTTCTCACCCTGGACAATGTCCAGTTCACCGGTTTTTCCGATTTCAAAGTTGAACAAATTTCCAATGCTGGACCTTGTCTTAATTTCCAACACTTGATTCCTAAACTAAATACCTGCGCTAATTATACCGTTGATTATTATTTGTTTGACTCAATTCCACTTCGAATCTCAGAGGGAGCAGTCAAGGCCACAATTCCAAAGGCCAAAATTGTCGGACGTTTCTTTGCTTTTGCTTCGGTTATCGGTGATTGGTCTCGAACTTCACAATTTAATCTAACCACCACCGTCGATGAGGAAGTGGCCCTAATGGTTTCACCGCTCTACACCATCTCTGATCGTTTCGTCCTCGACTCATCCATGGGACAATTTGATTCCGCCATCAGGTCATCTTTACCCGAAGTATCTGAAGCCCTTCGAAATGCTTATTCTAAAGTTATCGAAATGAAGCTCAGTGATTAAACTTTTAGTCCAAACAATCAATTAATCTTTCCAATTTAACGTGTATGTTTCTGTGTTCATTCAATTCATTATTGTTAAAATTAATTATCGAAAGTTAATTGTTAACAAAAAGAAAATACATTAACTGTACTTCTTTTTTAATCATTTAATTCAATCAACTCACAATTAGATTGATTTTGTCTCAATCAAATGGCGGAAGTTGATTGTTGATACAATTGTTATCAATTCAATTGATTATTAAATAAAAAAAAACCATTTCATTCATCAAATTTTTAATTATCTTATTGTTAGATCAATAGTTAACTGTTAATCATTTGTGTATTCATTTTAATCACTATTGTAACAATTTAAAATGTTTCATAATACAATTTAAATGGACTAAACAATTTACTGTTTCAAATTTCATCTTTAACTTTCTCAACGATTAATTTATTAAATATATATACAAGAAATTATCTAAATTACAATTAAGAAGCAATTAATTTAATCATCTGTTGATAATTATTATCTTAAGGCCACTAATTGTTGCTATAAAACAAAAAAAAGTTAATTATCTAAGAGGAAACTGAATCTAAATGGATTTAATAATCTCCATGTTTTCAGAATGATGGAAATGTTATCGTTGCGATTTGATTGTTATTAGTTAATTGTGATATTATTGTTTCCAAATGTATTCTTATTTATCTAGTTCGCTGGATGAGATTCGGTTAGATTTTGAGGCCAAATCGATTCTCCTCGAATTGGAAAGACTCAAATCGCTCCCAGAGAATCAGAAACATCGTTTCATTTGGGAATTGATTCAAAACGCCAAAGATTGTGCTCGACCCAATGAACGGGTGACAATCGTCATCAACCTGGAAAAGGATCGATTTGTGTTCGCCCACAATGGCCTCGAATTTAGAGTGAAAGATTTGATCGCTTTGGCTCGCAGAGGATCAACTAAAACCTTTGACGAGAATCGACTTGGTACTGGTTTTATAAAGACCCACGTTCTCAATAAAACTGTCCAAATTAAAGGTCAATTAGCGACAGCTCGAGGTTTCCGTGATTTCGTGTTGACTTTAAAACGATCAGCTGATAATCTTAATGATATGAAGATTCTGCTAGAGGAAACTTATCAACAGATCGACTCGTTGACTCGCCAGCATCATAATGACTCAGTTGACCTGACGAGTACTAGGAAAGGCTCGTTGGCCTCTTCGCCATCTTTATCGACAGTGACCAGTCATAATTTTTCATCATTCGAATATCATCTTGATCCCGATTCTTATGCTATGGTTTGCTCAGCACTCGAAGATCTCAGGCGTAATATCATTTTCGTATTGGTAATCAATGAGTCAATTGATTCAATCGTCGTTAATCAAAATGGTTCACAATTGAAATATACTCTTAAAAGCAAGCCCATATTTAGAAAAATTTTTCGAGCCAAAGTGTCCGGTTTGTCCCATTCAATGTTAATTCGCCCGTGCGACTCATTCGGCCTGATCCTTGGTGTTAACTGCTCTAAATCGGGTTCCAATGATTACTATTTAACCTCCATTTCGGGTCAGGCCAAAATATTCAAAGAGTTTCCTCTTATTGGTACTGAAGATTTTAATTGTGCTCCATTGATACAAAGTTCACATTGGATGGCAAGTGACCTTAGAGATGGACTTAGGATTAAAAAAACATCGGAAGCCGAATCTGATCACATCGCTGAAATAAATAGATCAATTCTTTGTGCTTATCGTGATTATTGGATCACTTTCATTAGTGAACTAATCGACCTTCAAGTGCTAAATCGTCACATTCTGGCGATAAGTGGCCTTCCCAGATACTCAAATCGTTACTCGGATAACCTTTGGTTCAGAAAGACCATTCAATTACCCTTAAGATCATTTATTCGAAGTCAAGATTTAGTTCGTAACACAAGATCGACAAATGAACTTTACTATTATTCACGAATCGACGATTGCCTTTTTCCCGATTGTTCAATTAATCAAACTGTTTGGCATTCGATTGCTTCAGCAATTATAACCAAATCAAAAGATTGTCCCCATTTAGAAGTCTCGTCGAAATGGATCCAAATAATTAACCAAGATTATCGAGATTGGGGATTACCGGTAAAGTTCAGCGTCGACGATGCCATTCAACTAATCGAGGCCACTTCGATTGATTATATTTCTAAAAGTGAAGATCGAGCAATTAATTGGTTAAATCAGTTGATTCATTTTCTATCATCATATGATTGTTTTCACGATTTACTCAAGAAAAGGTCAATCTTACCTTCTCAAAATGGTATCTTAAGGTCATTCCAAGGTGCCCCAAATAAACGAGATCAATTGCTTCACCATGAAATGGACAATGGGCTCGAGTTGATCGACGAAACAATCAAAGATATTTACAGTGATTTAGGTGATGATTTAAGAGACAATTTACTCCATAAAGGTATTGATACAAATCAATTAACTTGGTTACCCCAGATGAGAGTGGAAACAGTTTTCATTAATCTTGAAATTTTACTCAATCGTATCAGTGGATTAGGTCAAAGATTAAATCTTGACCTTTTAGAATCAGCATTCACCATGAGTCTATTATTTCACTCTGAACCCGATTCAATAACTGTAACTTTAACTCGAGTATTGAAACAGTTATATCCATGTAAGTACAAGTCTCATTAATCAACAACAATTAGTTTAAACAATTGACTGATTTTTCATTATTCATTTTCCTTAATAGCAATTGAATGTTTTCCTATTTGTGAGAAATCATATCAAGTTTACCCTCGGGCATTTTTCCTTCGCTGGACACTGACCATGTTAATCTACAGGATTCAGTTGATTGTTAAACCAAATGAAGAGACAGTTAAAGTTGATCAGTTAACCACATCAATGCCACTGATTGTTAACATATATGATTGGATCAATGATATTATCTTTCTATTGGAAAAATGTGATTTAACTAATTTACTTTATCAGAATCAATTGATTCCTCTTCAAAGTGGACATTTGACCAAAATTACTCCTGAAATTTACCTGGAAAATGAACCGGAAACTTTTCAATCAAGTGAAATATCATTTAAATTGTTGGTCAATCGATTTGTGAAAGATGATCAAGGAAAATCAATTGATTGTACCAATTGGTTGGTCGATAATCGTATCAATTGTAAACCTGAAACAATTAGACGAGAAAATGTTAAACAATTAACTTTCATGTTGGACTCAATTTTCAAGCAAATATTTGATGGAACCTTAAACATTGATGATGATCATCATCAACAATCAACTGATTGGATTGAATTGTTTCACCAATTGATTGTTTGGTGTTCCGATGATCCAGTTAATCGTTTCAATCTATTTCCATTGATGTCTGCATACAAAGGTTTTCTTATGGTCAAAGCTCATGGATGTCAAAGTTCAAAAGTAGCCCTTAGTATTGTCCACTCTGGTAAAGAATGGTCAACAATTGAACAACTAATCAATCTACAATTAGATGTTAATCTTTTACAATCAATTGACATGATTAGCCAAACAAAAGGCTCCCGGTGGATTGAAAAGATTATCAATAATGCTGAGATAATTGATAAACTATTAGTTAATGATCACAATTTAGTTGAGGTTAATTCATTACTTGAGATGATGAATATTGATGAGGTGAAAAATTTGATTAAAAATTCAACTCAATTAGTGAACAATTCACCATCAATTGAGACAATTGATTCAACTGGAGAAAATAATTTTCAACAACAATCAACAACTTCCAATGAATCTATTGATAGGATTAGATTAGTTTCATCAATTGTTGATATGATTACTAAATCGTTTTCATATTATCCTTCAATTAGAATTGAACAATCAGTGATGGGCAAAGATTTAATCATTTCAAATACATTCAATGGTCAACGAATGTCCATCAAAGTGTGTCCACTTCATCAAGGACAAAATTTCGTAAAATTGACCAAATTTGAAGCTCTAACTTCGTGTGCTGAAAAATCTGATTACTCTTTATGTTTAATTGATTGTGATGATCCTCTCAATGGTAAATTTATTCTGGACATTGGTCAGTTAATCGAGGAAAAGGTTAAATTGAAACAATTAGTTGAGAAAAATGATTCTATTTGTATCACTTCAACATCAACTGATTTTAATGTAATCATATTTAAAGAGATTTGGATCAAATTATCAATTGATTTTGATTCATTTAATTTACATATGAAACAATATTTACGATTATGATTTGAACAATCAAATCAATTCATGAGCCAATTAAACTAAATTTAATTTCACTTTGTTAACCTTTGTGTCCATTAATTAATTGCGTTAATTTGTCCGGTAAATTGTCACAATTTAATCAATCAGGTCAATAAAATTTAATTTTCTTTACCTTATTTTATCATGTAAAAGGTAAATCAACCTTGTAATTGTATTACTTGTATTACCCTTCACAATTAACTAATCAAGTTGCATCAATGTTAAATCAATATCTAAATGTTATTACTTATTACACCCTTAAGCCAAGGAAGGAAGTTAATTGTAAACAATTAATATACGAAAAAATTAAAAGTGTAATCGTCTTTAAAAAACAAATCAAATTAATATTATTTTTGGATAATCAAATTAATCAGGTCATTGCCATTATCATAGTGATGATTACAATATGATGATTACAATTTAAAATCATTTACTTGATTAGCCTAAAGGTGAATATTTTTTTTGAAGTAATTAAGTTTACAATCAATTTTACTAATTTAAATCCGTGTTCCCTCAAGATGAACTTGAAACAGAATTAAGTTAATTAAAAATCGAGAACAGGAAAATGTATATAAATATAATCTTGACATTAACAATTAGTATTGATTGTAAACAATTATTCAATTCTTAGGGTCATTAAGCTTAGATTTAAATATTGTCACAATTAACTAATTGTTTATCAAAAGAAAATGTAATATCAGTTAGTTGGTCTAATTGTCCAAAAATCTAAATATATATACTTATTATGATTTACTGAGCAATTAAACTTGTAATCAACTGATTAGATAATTTATGATTCGTCTAATTAATGAAACAATTAACTTTTTCATTTAGATAATTAAACTTACAACTATTGATTATGTTTCATCTTAAATGTCAACTTTTGAAAAACAATTATGTTAGTTGATTAGTTGGAGGGATTAATTGTTTACATTTCTTTGATTGATTTGATTTGATTAAATAACAAAATGATTAAATCCTAAGTATTGGGCTGTCATTAGAAATCATGGAAACCCTGAACAATCAATTGAGGCGGTTCTTGATGATTAAAAACTGGATTCAATTGAAAGTAACAGTTAAAAAGTGAAAATTAAAGTTTCAACAACTTGATTTTCTGATCATAGTTAACGTGTCTCTCAAATTGTGAGTGTATACAATTAAATTGTTTCACTCTTTTTAAATTGTTTCCTCAGTTGTAATTCTACTACTAATCAACTTGTATCATTATTGTAATTACAACAGTTACAATTTAACTATTACATTAGTGTCTCCTTTTTTATGGTTTGTTGATTCAACTTTTGCTTTGACATTTTGCTAATTCTTGTAAAAACTGTGTATTGACAATTAGTGAATTACAATACAGTAATTAACATGGAATCATCTCAATCAACAATAGAAACTGCTCAGTTAACTATTGCCAAAGCACCTCGACAATCAAGGGAACGAACCTTTGCTCCAGTTGATCAGTTAATCGTTGAAAATGTACGAAGACGATTTATTGATTGTGCCACCGAGGAACCAGAATCATTTGATTGTGAAGAAGTGGAGAAAATAAAAACTGACGATTGGCCAGTTTACCGATTCGTGTCTATTAACAATAATAACGAGGAGAAATCACTTCAAGGATTAATTGCTACCCTTAGATGGCGTAAAAAACTTGGTGTCCGAACTGTTAATGAGAATGAATTTCCTGATCTAATTTGGAGAGTAGGTCCACTTTTCCTTTACGAACCCGATAATCAGGGTAGACCAACCATGTATTCTCGGTGTAAATTTGTCATGGGTGTTAAGGATATCTCCAAATGGGAACAATTGTTTACTGCTTATCAAACTTGGAGAATCGATGAGATCGCCGATGGTAATGGTTGGACATTAATCCTCGATTTTGCCGATACTGGTATTCGAAATGCTGATTTTGATCTTTTAAGATTTTTTCTTAATCTTCTCATGAACCATTTTCCTCGAGGAATTGATAATATTTTGGTTATCAATTTACCCTTTATTTTAAGAATGTTCTGGGGTTTGGTCAAGACTTGGATTCCATCTGATCGGGTGGACATCATCAAATTTGTCGATTCCAAATCAATTCAAGAATATATTTCTCTTGATCGACTTCCAAATTTTCTCGGCGGCAATTGTACTCGTCCATATAAAGGCTACGAAGTTTGCCCTAAGGGTTGTCCCGATGTCTTTGAATATGGAACCAAAGAGTCAGGGTTACCTATGAAACGAATGCAAGAAATTTATAAGATTTATGAGCCTCTTTTAGAGGTTTAATTAACTTAATCATCATCTACAATTCTTATTGATTGTCTTATAAATAAATTGTTTTACCAACTTACCTGAATATTTGTAACTTGCAAACTTTTTTCTTTAATAATTCTACCAATGGATCAAAATTAAATCGGATTTGTTTCCATGTTTCCAATTGATTCTGGTGATTTATTTTTCCTTGTTGATTAACTTTCTTTGTAGAAAAAAATTTCCTTGACAATTTAATTTGACAATTTGATCTCCACTATTGATTTTAAACTCTTTTTCTTTTCCTTTCAATTCTCACTTTGATTGTCATCGATTTGGTTAATTGTCATACTCCTTTAATTTCCTTGTTTCATCGATTGTCATATGAAAATTATCTTAACCACAATTAACTTTATACTTGGACCGGTTTTGATTACTGATGGTGAACATTATTATTATTAATATATTTCCAAACCATTAATAATATTCCAATACCAGGAGAGAGAGAGGGAGAGGGAGAATCAACAATTCTTAATAATTGTGTTTAAATTGTTTGAATGGAAATCCTTTTCTCTAAATTGATTGTTGATTTTGAACGTGATTGATTTCTCAAAACTCTACAATTAAGAGGTAAACAGTCAATTTGAACAACAACAAAAGAAAAACGTTCATTTGGGATTATAACGAGTTGAAGGTTTTTCTATCCATTCTTATTCTCAGCTTGATTGGATATAAAAGAAACACAATTAAACACAGTTTAAGAACATGTTGATAATTCAGCTTGAGTCACACAATTTACTAATTGTTGTTACCAAAATCTGTAAGAAAAAAAAAGATATTCATTGTTAGAAAGAGATACCAATACAAACAAAGACAAGGTTTTCATATATTCAAACAACATGAAGACACACTAATTAATTTCCATAAAATAATTAAGGTCAACAATGTGATCACAAGTAAAACAACAACAAAACTACAAACTCATTACCTTTTAATTTCCTGGTCAATCAAAGGGTCAAAACAAAACAAAACAATTAATATAAATGAACCGAAAAATTAATCCAACCAATAGATTAAAAAAAAAACGATTACCTAATCCACCAAGACGAGAAAATGTTTACACAAATCAATCAACCAATCAATCAATCAATTAACAAAATTCTTTAACCCAACCAAGGCCATCAAACAATTAACATATTAAATAGAAAAAGAAACAAAATCAATTCTAACAATTAGAATGATTTAGAAACAATTAAAATCCTTAAGAATATTGAATTTGTTGATTAGTTGGAATAGAGAAAAAAAAATTTTCAATTGAACAAAATGTTCGTTTAAAGATTGCGCCATCTGTTGAATTAGAAAAGAAAATGTGAAAAGGTGAACGCCCATCCGCCATGTTTGCTGTTCGCAACAACTAATAATTTGTTTTTGTTTTTCTCATTTTCTTTAATTAAAAATGTTTACAATTTAAATCTTATTTAACTATTGTTTCGGACAAAATACCGGTCCTACAATTTGTCGTAACTCTATCCGAAAGCTTAATTGTTACAATCAATGAAGTGGGTGCGAGTGGCTAATAGTACTGGGCCGTCGCCGCGTCCAAGGCATGGTCACCGTGCGGTTGCTATAAAAGATTTGATTATAATATTTGGTGGTGGCAATGAGGGAATAGTTGATGAATTACATGTTTACAATACAAGTGAGTATAATTAGCTAATCAAAATTAGTCCCATTCCTTAATTGATCGATTAACATCTCTCATTTGTGTGTTATTCTTCATCATTTTCTATTTCTCTCTCTCTCTCTCTCTCTATCTTTCTTCTCTTTTCTAGTATTGCTTCTTTCTCTTTCTTCTTTTCTCTTTTTCTTCTTTCTTTCTTTCTGTCTTTCTCTTCTATCATGTTCAGTTTTTTTCTATTATTTTTGTTGTATCTTCATCCAATGTTTCAAATGTAGTTTTCTCTTTCTCTCTTTCTGTCTGCGTCTCTCTTTTACTTTCTCTCATATTTTTGTCTCTTCTTCTATCTCTTTACCTTTCATTCTTTCTCTCTCTCTCTCTCTCTCTCTCTCTCTCTCTTGACTTTTCTTTCATCTTTCATTTTCTGACTTTTTTCTTTTGCATTTCACTTGCAAACACCTTAGAGTTTTTCTCTTGCAATCCAATTCTTGTTTCTTTTTCTCCATTGTCTTTATCTATCATGTATTATTTGTCTCTCTTTCATGACAGCTTATGCTTATGATCATTGTCGCTGCGGGTAAATCTGAATACTTCAAAAAAAAACTGCCAACACACTACCTATTTGTCTGTCTCTCTTTTTAGTCTTTTTCCTGCTTTTCCTGCCTTTTTTGTTTCTTCCTTTCCTGCTAATTTGCTTGGTTAAAATTTCACAAGTTTAAATTGATCCCTTTCCTTTGATCGATTCCTCTTCTCCAAAAAAAAAATTTGTTCCTCTATCATGTCCATGTACAATATTTCTCATTATAATCTTTTATTTTCTTTTTATTTGTTGAATTATCTTTTATGGCTTTCTTTGGGAAACTTCATTGGTCTAACACTAATCATCAACAATCTATACCCGCCAATACTATGAATCATATCAAAATTATCTTTCTGGCAATTTGTCAACAGCTACTAACCAATGGTTTATACCACAAGTAAAAGGTGAAATACCACCGGGATGTGCGGCATACGGTTTTGTCTGCGATGGTACTCGTTTACTCGTATTTGGGGGCATGATCGAATATGGAAAATACAGTAATGAACTATATGAATTACAAGCATCTAGATGGGAATGGAGGAAACTTAAACCAAGACCACCCAAGAATGGGATTTATCCATGTCCACGGCTTGGACACTCATTTACCCTTATACAGAACAAAGTTTATCTTTTCGGAGGTTTAGCTAATGATTCAGATGATCCAAAGAACAATATTCCCAGATATTTAAATGATTTATATGTTCTTGAAATGAAACCCTTTCTGTCCACCATGCAATGGGAATTAGCGCAAACCTATGGTACACCTCCTCCTCCAAGGGAGAGTCATTCTGCAGTTGCGTACATGGGAGCTGATGGTAAACATCCAAAGCTTATCATATATGGCGGGATGTCAGGATGTAGACTCGGGGACTTATGGCAGTTGGATATTCAAACTATGCATTGGTCAAAACCTTTCGTTGAGGGTATTCCTCCATTACCTAGATCACTTCATTCTGCTACTCTTATTGGTAATAAAATGTATGTTTTCGGTGGCTGGGTACCACTTGTGTATGATGATGATAATCGAGGTCAACAGCCAGGTAATGTACATGAAAAAGAATGGAAATGTACCAATACCTTAGCAACCCTTAATTTAGACACAAATAGATGGGAATTAATCACCAATGAATCATTTGATGACAGTGTACCAAGAGCTCGTGCTGGTCATTGTGCAGTTGCAATATCAACTCGATTGTATATATGGTCAGGTCGAGACGGTTATCGTAAAGCTTGGAATAATCAAGTCTGTTGTAAAGATCTTTGGTTCCTTGAAACAGAAAAACCCTCACCTCCCAGTAGAGTACAATTAGTTCGTACAGCAACAGATACACTAGAAGTATGTTGGGGTGTTGTACCAACTGCAGACAGTTATATTCTTCAAATTCAAAATTATGATCCTCCTCAGACTACAGCAAATTCGAGTGGTACTACTGGTCAACATCCACCTGGTATACCATTAGTCAAAACACCACCCGCGACACCTGCTACCTTACCATCAATACCTGTCCAAAATTCATCGAAAGTAGCCAAAGTCATTCAGCAACCCGTTGTCAAGATGCCTCTTTCCCAAAATCCAGGACAAATTCCCACAATAGTTCAGTCTTCACTTACTTCTCTTCAATCTCCAACCCAAACGCCAATTCAATCTCAGACGGTCACTGAGTCTAAATTAGTGACGACAGCTCCAACTGTCATATCCAATGTTTTCAGGTACTTGTCTCTCTTTTCCTCTTATTCTTAAACTTTTATATTCAACTATTTTTAACCTAATCTAACTTGATCAATTTTTTTCTCTCTTCATTCTATTATTATTATTATTACTATTAGAACAATTAGTGATTCTAATCTTATCCAATCAAGGACAACTGTCGCCAGTACAAATCTTAGTAAAACACCAACATTAAGCCAAACCACCACAGCTACTACAACAGCTTCTACAATTGTGACACCAGTTGTTAGAACGACCACCGCATCATTAACCCCACAGATCGTTACAACTCCCATTTCATCATCAACTTTATCAACCAATAATACGGCTGTTGTATCAAATCAAACACAACAACCACCAACAACAGCTCAAAGTCAACAAGCAATGTCAGGAATGGCTGCATTGGTTGCTGCCGCTGAAAGAAAGACCAAAATTGAACCTCAAATTCAACAAACCATTGCCGGTAATCCAGCAATTAAACAAGTTGTGGTTAGCAGTGTTGGTGCTACTCCCGGTACACAAACTCAATTGATGTTTGTTAAAACTGCTTCTGGTAATCTTCAATTAGCACAAACACAAGGAGGTAAAATTAGTAATGCAACTTATGTGAGATTAGTTCAACCAACTACTCAATCAAGTTCTACTACTGGTTCTATCAAAGGTATTCCTCAGGTTGTCCAAATTCCAGGAGGAGTAACCCAAGGAGTAGGAGGACAGAAAGTAGTTATAAAGACAATTCAAACATCAACACCACAAAGTTCATCTGGATCACCGAAATCAACAACCCCAGTTGTTGTCACTTCATCCGGTGGTACCCCTGGTGGAACTGCTCAAACAAAGACGATCTGTGTTTCAGCAGGATCATTGAAACCTGGTACCTCAGCAAACACTTTACCCGCCAGATTGGTAACCAACCCTGCTGGTGTTAAAATGCTGGTGATATCAAGCCCACAAGGGCAGGGTGGACAAGCACAACAAATCGTGATGAATCAAGGTGGTTCTGGTCAACAGCCCATCACCCTTCAACTGGCTAACTTAGCTGGAGGTGTTGGTGGTACCAAATTCACAATTCCAGGTTTACAAAAAGGTTTAGTTACTACCTCTCAAGTTGCCACTTCAACTGGACAAGCTGTGACAGTGGCATCCGCTGCAACAGGTACTACACTAAGTGGTCAAAAAATTATCCAACTACCGCCTGGTACTCAATTATCAGGTATGAGACTTGTACAAGCAACATCGAGTCCTCAAAATGCCGGTGCCACGAGAGCGCAAGGGCCTACAAGATATGTGTTAGTTTCACAGCCTGGAACCGCAGTTAGACCTCAAGCAGTTCCAGTTCCAGCTACAGTTAAAACAGAAAGTCCAAAAGTCCCCCAATTTGACGGTGCTGTTGATGAAGAAGATTCTGAGACTACTGAGACTCAAGTTAAAAAAGAAGAAGAAGAAGATCAAACTCCCACTGTAGTTACATCTACAAGTGACTCGAAACCATCAGAAGAGAAAAATTTGGAAGATCAAATGAAAGAAACTGTAAAGACTGTCGATGAAAACGATCAGATTAAAACTGATGAGTCTGTTGAACAAGCAATAGAAGCTTCTGATAACAATGAACAATCGGTCAATCAACCAGAATCTACTTTCATCAAGTCTGAATCTGTCTCTGAAAAATCTGAACCAAATATTGGACAATCAAAAAGTGAAGAAGGTACAAATATTGAGGAACAAGACAAAGAATCACTTGGGCCAAGTGACTTAGGTAACACTGACCAAGCTGATGCTGAGATGAAATCTTTTGATGAAACATCTAAAGTGACTGAAGAAACTGAAAAATCTGGTGAAATGATTGATTTGCCTAAAGAGATTGAAGAAAATGCATCAAGCACTTCTAATTTACAACAAGAAGATCAGAGAAATGACGATGGACTTGGTGATGCATTGGCCGATAAATCAAGTCAAGATTTGCTTAACGACATAATCAAAGAAGAGTTTAAAAATATTGAATCAAATGAACAGGCAAACAACATTTCAACAACCATTGGAGAAACTTCATTAATTGACAGTGGAAAAGAATCGTTACAATCAACAGCTCGAGAAGAGTTAAAGCCTGTTGAGACAGAGCCTATGGAGACACAGTCAGAAACCTCTGATCAAGTTGAACAGCCTGAAAACCAACAGAGCAACAATCAAACAAGCCTCTCATCGATATCAATTAAACCAGATCCAGACAATTCCCCGGAACAATCAAATACCAATGTTGAATCAACATTGTTAGGTCAAATCACATCATCTTCTTCATCTCTTATTGCCCCTTCATTGAAAGTAGAAATGCCCGGACTAGAGCCACCCGAACAAATGTGCGCTGATGATCCCGAACCAGCTCTTCCAACAATTCCAACAATTTCAACAATAGTTCGTGAAACTAAACGACCAGCCACCAGCTCTTTAAGCCAAGAATCTGACTCTGATCCATTATCGACTCTTGCTTTAGCAGCTACTGGTGATTTAAGGAATAAACAACATCAACCATCTACATTATCATCATCTTCATCCTCATCTTTGACAGCAACATCATCAACATCAATATCACTAATAGCAACATCAACAAACACCAGTCAACAATTACAACAATCATTAGCTGATAAGATCAGTGAGAGTTCATCTAATTTAAGACCTTTAGGAGTTGTTAAAACTGAAAATACTTCTAACCTTTTAAAACCAGTAGCAGCAGTCGCTCCAACTACAACTTTAACAACTTCATCCATTAAATCAACTCAACAAACTCTATTGAACAGCTCCAGTCTTAATTCAACGTCTCAGTTAACCCCACACTCCGTTTTATCCAAGAAAAACCAGTGGTACGATGTCGGTATTTTCAAAGTCAATCAGTGTGTTGCATCTCATTACTATGTACCTGCTGATGGAGATACATTTTTATCCTCTGACTCTCAAGATGGAGATAATTTTATACCACCCAATTATTCAAGTATGATAAAGATGAATTTACAACCGGGAACCGCATACAAATTACGAGTTGCTGCAATTAACTCATGTGGTCGTGGTCCATGGTCTGAAGTAACAGCATTCAAAACATGTTTACCCGGTTATCCAGGAGCTCCATCAGCGATTAAAATAGTTAAAAGTTCAGAAGGTGCTCACCTTTCATGGGAACCACCACAATTTACTTCAGGAGAAATTACTGAATATTCAGTTTACTTGGCTGTTCGATCAACTCAATCTGGTGTCTCACCTGGTTTAACACCAAATCCTCCTCAATTAGCCTTCATCAGAGTTTATTTTGGACAAGCAAATTCATGTGTCGTGTCAAATATTCATTTAGCAACAGCTCATATTGACACATCTACTAAACCAGCCATTATTTTCAGAATTGCGGCAAGAAACGAAAAAGGTGACCAAATCAATCCACTTATCTTCACTTTGACTTTGCATTTTTTTTCCTTACTTAGTTCATTTAATAATTTCTCTATTTTTGAAAACAAAATTATGCTAAATTAGGTTATGGTCCAGCTACACAAGTTAGATGGTTACAAGATTCAAACGTTTCAGGAATTTCTAAAGGATTACCGAAAAGAACCACATCTACTTTATCCACTACAGACAAGTAATTAAATTTGATGAGATAATTTGAATAATTCATCTGATTTTAAACGTAATTTTCTCTTATTCTATTTTACAGCAGTGTACCTTCTAAAAGAATCAAATTAGAATCTGAACATTGATTTGGCAAAGATGAAAATTTATATATAAAAACACAACTCGATTAACAAATATTCCTCCATCAAAGACAAAACAACAACAACAACAACAACAACAACAACACCAATAGAATTGAGTGGGAAAAATAAATACCAACAATTCCAAGTGAATCTATTGATAGGATTAGATTAGTGACTGTAAAATCATTTTATCCTTCAATCAGAGTTGAACAATCAGTGATGGGCATCAAAGATTTAATCATTCAAATACATTCAATGGTCAACAAAATTGTCAATCAAGGTGTTTATGAGTGTGTGTGTCCATCTCTCCCTCTCTCACACACTCACCAAGGATATAACATTTTGACCAAAATTGAAGCTCTCTAACTGCATGTGTGTTGGTAAAATCTGCTTACTTTCTCTCTCTCTCTCTCTTTTTATGTCTTGTTGATTATGATCGTGATCATCTTATTGATGATGGTAAAATGTATCTCTGGACACATTTGGACAGAGTTAATTGAGGAGAAAAGGTTAAATTCACACAATTAATAGATAAAAATTGATTCAATTTGTATAAGTTCAGCATCAGCTGATTTTAATGTAATCATATTTAAAAGAGATTTGAATCAAATTATCAATTAATTTTGATGCATTTAATTTACATATAAAAAAAACCCCAATATTTACCATTACGATTATGATCTAAACAAAGAAAATCAAATCTTCATTCATTTTCTATTCAAAACTGATTTAATTATCATCATTTTTAATTGCACTGTTACCCCCCTTTTGGTCTATTCGTTTAATTAACGTAAATCTTTCCCCTCAATTTTAAAACCAATGTCTGAATATATCATATTTGCTTACAGCCTGAAACCCCAAGGAGAAGGAGAAGTTAATTGTAAACAGTGATTATCCTAATTAAAAAAAAACGGACTTCGATCCATTTGTGACCCTTCATCGATTTTGCTTAAACTCATAAATAAAATAAATTTGCTTACGCCGAAAATGATTGAAAATAATTGTATAAATAATTTATTATTATCAATAAAAACAATAGATGGACTAATCAAGGAATCGAAAAAAATGGAAAAACAAACAAACCAATTGGTCAAAGAAAATGAATCTTGCAAAATTGATTCGATTGATTTTAATTGAAATTCGAAAAATTGATTAAATGTTAACTCGCAATTCGAGTTGAGATTATTTACCTTTTCCAATTGTTTGATGAAAGAACTTGAATGCTGATCGTTAGATGGCAACTCTTTCATTATCGAATTGGCAACTAATCGTTACTATTACTGTTCCTCTGAGTAGTTATGAATTTCATTCAACCTGTTAAAGTATTTCATGAGTTGTGATGGATCAGATTGTTGGATCTTCGTCAACATTTAATCTAACCGACGATGTTATGACGAATTTAACTTTATGTTTAACGTTCGCAATTGATGACGATGAATCAAACGAAACGTTAACGTTAATGGAAAACAATGAAGTGTTTACAAATGATCTAAGTGAGTTTTCTGTTCATACTGTATCTTTATCATCATCATCGTCATCTTCGTCATCATCATCTACCCAAGTAATCACACCGACAACAGTTTCATCAATTCTTATTCCGAAAATATTAATTTCGTCAAGTAAAAGTACTAAAGTTAACAAAGTTATCTATCAATATAATTTGTTTTATCTTCTATTGGGTCTTCTTGTTTTCGTTGGATGTTTCGGAAATATTCTGGTCTGTCTAGCGATTTGTCTCGAGCGTCGATTACAAAATGCGACGAACTTTTTTCTATTATCATTGGCGATCGCCGATCTACTGGTGTCGATTCTTGTCATGCCAATGTCAATCGTTAATGAAGTTTACGGTAAGTTAATTTACTTCATATTCGGTATCTTATATCTTCATGATGAAACTTTCCAAATGGCGGTAAACTTCATTTCTCTCTCTCTCTCTGATTCCATTCGAATGTTCAAAATTCTCGAATAGAAATTAGATTATTAATAATATAAAACTATCAAGTTCTAATTTGTGTTGATAAGAAAATCATCTCAACTGTTACATGATGAAATTGTGAGTTTTCTTGGTGAAAATTTCCAAAGTGAAATCTGAATAAATCTCATGGGAGATTAATTAAAACTTTCAAATGAATTTAATATTTGTCACTTTGTTGAATGATATTTGATTATTATTATTATTATTATATGTAAGAGTAAATTAGTTTGCAACACTAGATTGATAATATTATATTCTGCCTATTTGAAGGTTGATAAAATTACCATTGATCTCTCATCTTTTTTCATGATAATCTTTTCCTTATTTGTCCTTCAATCATCAATCCTCATGATCAAGGCTTAACTTAAACATTTTCTTTGACAATTCGCTTTTGTTTTCTCAATAAAGAAGAAGAAGAAGAGAAGAAAAAAAAACGTAAACAAAATCAATCAATAAATTTGATTCATTAAAAAATTTACTATTCATGAGATTTCACTGAATATCAACGGATACATTTTCCATCATCAATGTTGATGGTCGTTTATATGTTTACCTTTGATTAAATTTTTTCCATGTTCGTTGAAAGGATAAGTTGATATATAGAAAATGATAACGTAAGCGAAATTCTGATGGAACAAAATTAAGTATTCGAAAGTAACAAACTCGACAGAAATAGAGAAAATTATCTACTATAAGAAATAATAATTTTCTCTTCAATAATTAAGTAGATAATTTGTCCAATCGTTAATCAAATTATTCATATTGTAATGGAAATTTCCTCACATGGAAACAATTGAAGATTATCTAATTATCAAGTTCGATACATGGATAATATGTTCAATCGAATATTCTGTTTTATTTAAACGATTTCAATTTCGTTTTTTTTTTTTCCTGATTCTCCTTTTTTTCCAATTACTCAAAAGTTATCGAATAATTTAGAATCCATTGATTTTCAATCAGTTTAACAAATTGTTTGATAGAAAATGCGAATCAATTTTCTATCTGAATTAATCTTTTACTCTTTTATTATTATTATCACAACGAAATCACGTTTAATTTTAACAATCAAGTAATTGATTGTAAATTGAATTGATTATTCAAAAAAATAGAGAGCCAATCGATCAACAAATTTAATCGCTATTTAAGTTATCTCATTGCTCTCAACTAAATCAACAACATGAATTCATTGAAACAGTGATTTAAACTAAAAAGTGTCTCGATTGATTTACTGTTTTAATCAAGTCAATATTCAAATTGAAACAATAGTAATTAAGAGCAACAATTAACTCTAATCTTTCACAGTTTTCAAGCCTTTTAATATGATAATATTGATGAGCAAATATTGAATCTTTCAAGCTCATTATCTAAAGATGTTCTAATCACCCTGACATATATTAGTCGATTGTCAAGTTCATTGAGAGATTAATCCGATAATCAATTTTCATATAGAATATGAATTGAAATGATTAATAAGTATATTAGCTTATTAACGATCATGACAAACAAATACTCCAATGGTATTTACTTTGCCTGCTAATGAGGTGTTTCATTAACCCGATGTAATTATCATCAAGAATAATTTATAATCTCCCATGTATTCATTTCCGTTGGAACTCATTTCCTTTAGAATTTTCCATCTCTCTCTCTCTCTCTCTCTCGTTCCATGTTTCAAAAGTTATCAAATTCTTTACCAATGGATCCAGTATATATTTCTAATTTTTTTCGACGAAAACATTTATAAGAATAATCGTCATAATAAGAGAATGAGATAATATTCAATCTACTGTCAAATTCAATTGAAATACAAAGAACAAGCAAAAGAACAAAAAATTATACTAATCTAGTTTGTCTCCCATTCATTCATCATCTTCTCTCTCTCTCTCTCACCTGATTTATCTCCAATTCTTATCATATATATTTCTCTCTCTCTCTCTATTATAGGAATAATATACTCAGCCAATCTAAGATTTCCCTGTATCATCAAATGATAAGAATCATCGCTCGGAAAATATTATTGATTAATCTCCAGATAAAAGTGGAATAGTTTCAGTTTTCATTGAGTATACACACAGAATCGAGTATGATAATTGAGAAGAGAAATGGTTAACATAAGCAGAAAAAAAGAGATGAACAAGATCAATTTAATAATTTAAAAGTCAATTTATCGATCCTGATTAATAGGCAAGAATCGAAGTTAAAATCAATATAATTTACTATTTAATATTCACGTTAATTAAAACTTTCTCTCTCTCTATGCTTTAACATAATGTTAATAAATTGTTTCCTAACTTTGGATATATTGTAATTTTTATATTTACTATATTATAATGATAATAACTAAAAGTTAATGGCTGGTAATTTATCATTTCTGTCCATTCATAAATCCAATTACTATATTATGCATCTAAAGACATCTAATTTATCTGATAAATGATTGTCAGTCAATTAATCCTCCGGTTGTGATGATAGTTGCACAAGTCATCAGAAATTTCCTGTATAATTGAATTGTTACCAAGACATAACTACATTTACGTTGAACATTTTGCCTTTTAATCATTTAACTTGTATCTCTCTGTCATCCAGCAAAAAACAAGCAATCAACAGAATGATAATAATGATAGCATTTTGATTTACCTCAATGAACTAAGGAAGAAGTGAGAGAGAGAGAGAGAGAGAGAGAGAGAGAGAGTATGAATGAACTATCCATTCGATCAGATAAAATATAACATAAATCATATTCATCCAGAGCTTTTCTGTCAAGTTATCAAAAAATCAAAGGTTCATTATAACTTTTATATCATTTGTCATATTGTCTAAGTTTTTAAAATTCTCATATTTTTTTTTGTTCTGCTTGTATCATGATAGATACACAGGTAAGATGGATGATGGAGATTGAATTTGATTTGAAACTGTCCATGTGATAATTTGATTGTAATAGAAAAGTTAAATATTACAACGTAACAAGTTGATTGAAATGAATTAAGAAACTGTGATGATAATCAAGGGATTTTTATTGTGGTTTTGTTTTCGCCGCTATTACAGCTTAATATTGTCAAGTAAATGACAATAGAAGGGAAGAGGAAAAGGAAGAAGAAGATGAAGATGAAGATGATGATGATGATGATGATTCTCTTAATTTCTAAGGTTTAGGGTACAAATGATCTTGAGGAACAGTTTTTTCTTTGTTTTCTTCTATTATTTTTTTTCTTCTTCCTTTTTCTCTCTAATCTATCTTACTTTATCTTCTTTGATACTTGATTCACATCGAACATGGAATTGCCATCATAACATCATTTGAAGAAATTTTTTCTTACAATTTGTTCCATGACTTGATTCATCTCTTGAACGTTATCTCCAATGGTCAATGGTCATTTTTTTATCTTCCTCTTCCTCTTCATCTTCTTCTTCAACATGTTCCTTTTGATATACTTTCATTTCACTTCATATCATCATGTTCATCTTTCGACGAAAATCACAATGTTAAGTTTCCATACTCACATTTCTTGTCATTCTATTTATCATCTCGAGTTTCAATTGTTATTTCACCAAAAGGAAAAAGAAAAATTAACTTTATATATCCTCGAACTCTCAATGTACATTCGTTGGCTCTTGAAAAAGTTTACTTTCTCTCAAGGTATTGGCCAGAATTGAAAGAGAGAGAGAGAGAGAGAACAGAAAAACAATATCGAAAAGAAAAAAATATCATCGAAAAGTTTGTTATTAATTTAATGATAATGAGAGAAGGAAAAAAATTGTCTCGACTTTCATTTACAGGGAATAATAAATAAATTATCAAAATTATTATAAACCTGAATAATCATTAATTTACAAATTCGAAACTTGAGAAATTATTTATTTCTTTTGAATCGTTTTAGAATTAGTTGGCTAACAAGATATTCTCAGTCACAGTTTCCATTTCGTTGATATATACAAATACACTTAGAAATGATCGCTCTCAATTCTGTTCTCAATTCCCTCAGCAGAAAATTGTAAACATCATGAAAAGGAGGAGCTTCCATGTGACATAGGTGTTCAATAGTAAATTCAAAGTTATTAATTTAATGGTATCAATGAAGAAATTTAAAAATAAGATCTAACTTTTATCACTATATTCATCTAATGGTATATATATAATTAATAATTGATAAAGGTATTAGATATATTCACACATAGGTAGAAAAAATCGTAATATTAAATTAATGAAAATTACATTAGTTTAATTAAAAAGGAAGAAAAAAATTAACTAGAAAATATTATATTATTATTATTTACTATTAAATAAGCATTTCGATTTCAAAAGTTAATCTTAATTGCATGGTGAGTATTGATAAGATATTCTGATGATATTGTAACTTTTTTTTCTAATAAGTTTCTCTCTCTCTCTCTCTCTAATTGTAATTTCGATTAGGATAATCCCTCCAACTATTATTATTAAAGTTCTAGTGTATTTACCTCAATAAACAATTGTGATGAGATTTACTGAATAAATGAAATACTTTGGTTCACTGAACACACCATAGATTATATGAGATTTTATACATTATACAACATACACATGTACTAGTGAATTTACCGTTATCTACAGTTTCAACTTTACTCTACTTGGAATACATAAGTTAAATTAATTTAATTCAATTTCCCATTTGAATTCCTTAAGTATTGATTAAGATGGAGATCCTTACAATGGATTAATCTTATTTTATCCAGGTTCAATCACTAGATTAGAATACATGAAAGGGGCACATCAAAATCTGCCCATCACCCGAAATTTTTTTGGTTTTTCTGACTCAACTTTTTATGCTAATTCCGAAGCCGAAAATATTTTTTCAATCAGACGTCAAATAAAAAAGATGCATTGCAAAATGTAATTATGTATGCGATCACTACTGATCCTATTGTGTGTGTTTATAAAAGCTGTTTTTCTGATACTATTACTAAATACAGGGCTATTCAGCTATTTTACCGATGTTTTTTGAGATTTTCTCAGCAACTATGAGTCGTTGAGACTCAAGACGAGACGCGGTGTGATGAGTTTGAGCGATTAACAATTACCGTATCAAAATATCAAGGTCATTCAGGCCATTGTTGAAAGAAATAGTTTCAAAGTAATCTGAAGGTTAGGTTGATCCTCTTGATTAGCTCGTGCTACTTTTTTCCACTAACCAGCCTTCCGATTAAGCAAACTTAAAACTTGAACTTCGGTCACTTACGGTTTGCCAAGCGATCAGTAAGTCTAGCCAACGGGATATTACTTACCACTCCTAGGTTTTGTTTGAGCGCCTTGATCATTATTTGTTGTTGTTTTGTATTGAATATGCTTTTGCTGGTTACGAAGATTTTTAACATTTTTAATCACAAAAAATATAACAGAAAGAGAGATAAAATACTGATGAGGATTATGTATGATTAATGGCAAATGACCAGTGCAACTTTGTGTTAATCATCATCTTTAATCTTTACGTCATCGAAGGGCTAGTCTCGAGACAATAGAAGTACAAATTCATACATCAGTCTTGCGTTGAGAATTTTTTGTTGTTCTTCATTGGATATTGCCAACCTGTAACCGGAGACCAGTGAATCATAATGACACTTTAATTCGTTTAAGTTCCATTTATATGTCATTTCTCGGGAGTCCTCCATGTTTTGAACGACCACTAATACAGCAAACCAACGCATTGGATTAGAGTTGATAAAATAAAAAATAAAAAATTCCTTTTGTCGTTGATTACAGCGCTCTGATGCCATTACTTTATCGTTATAAACTTCAAACAGAGTTGAACAAATTTTTTGAAATCAGGACTGAAATGTCGAGAAGTAGGTGTAGGTGGAAGATTAATAACATCACCCATGATGAATATTTTGCTGACCAATCTTTGGATTTTAAACAAAAAAACATCCATTCATTTAGCGCATTATTTGCCTTCTTAATTGTTGATAAAATTCATTGGTCAATGGTAAGAGTCACTGGATTGGTCTACTGTTTGTTCTTCCTTTCCGAAAAAAACCTTCACATGACCTTTAAATGGGTTTATCGTAAAATGACCTCAATGACCTTGAAAATTTTCAATCAATTTCCAAACCAACTAACCCTGAACGAAATCAGTTTCCTGTTAACTGACTTTTCCATGAATTTCTCAAGCCGATCATTCAAAAGCTTCATAACAATGAAAACTTTTTCTTCTTTCATCATTTCATCACATTGAAGATATTTTAACTTTTTAATATCAATAAGAAAGACCTGTGGTCCTTGAGTAAATATACAAAGAAAAAATGATGAATGAAATGCTACATGAAACACTCATGTAATTTTAAAAATTAATATTAGAAGATAAAGAATGAAAAAAATAATGGTCAACAAGTTGAATTGTAGTCAATAAATGAAAATTTTGACAACACAATTTAATTGAATTCTGTAATCATTATTATCTTTTCCCCTCTTCCTCGGTGATTATCACCTAATTTACCTGTAAAATCACACGAATCTCACCCTGAATACACGATCAGTCTTGTCTTATGTAATCAAAAAGCTCGAAAAGTATTTCAATTAAATGATCATGACGATAATTCTGTATGTACTTTTCGAATGATTTTCTACCATTGTTTGAATTTTATCATTTTCTTTGATCTTAAAATGAAAAGTTCTTTCACCATCATTCCCGAAACTTTCTCTCCACTTTCATCATGTTGTTTGTCAGTGAGAAGAAAGAGATGGAGAGAGAAAATGGATTCTCAAAGTTTCTTTCTTTTTCTCACTTATGTCTCTCATCATCTTCTTTTTTCTTCTTCTTCTTCTTCTTCTCCTCATTCTAACCAAAGATTCAATGTTCTATTCTCTTTTTTTTTCTTCATCTCTTCGATCCAATAACTATTTTTCTATTCCTTTTTTTTATTCTCTTTCTTTTCTTCTTTCTCTTTTATTTTTCATTCTATTTGTTGAAATAAAGTTTCTCATCTTTGCTCATCCAAACGTTGATTCAATATACGGTTTTGTTATCGGTAAAACTTATCCTCAAATTGATACCATTATTCTTGAGACTCGAGTATAACAGTAATATACATCATTTCGAATTTGCAAAAGTTCTAGTTTTTTTCTTCTCTTCCCTTTACTCTTTTCTCTCTTGATTCTCCTCCCTATTCCACCATGATAGGGTAGCCAAAGGTGAGAAAGTTCAAATTGATAGCTCAGAGAGCGAGAGAAATGAATACAAAATTGATTGACATTCAAATGAGCTTGAGGTGAAAATGATTCACCTGAAAAAAAAGGTCAGTAGATTGTAATAAGAAATATGAATGAAATGAGAGCTTAAAATTGATAACAAATGGAATAGAAAACTTTTTTTTTCTACTCTTCAGATAATCAATCAATAACTTTTTCTAATATCTTGCCGGAGAAAAATTTGTCATAAAAGTGACAAAGTTACTCAAATGATGCCAATGAATTTTTTTTTCTCAAGAATAACCTGAATTCTGTTTCTCTCCGTAATCATCATCATCATCATTGATAAAAGTCACAATAACAACAGTAATAACAATAATAATCTAAGGTGTTCATTCATTCATCATGTACTTGAGGAAAAGATTCAATGAAATAACATTAATACTCCCTGATGGTGAAAAAAAATCAATTGTATTGATTCAAAATCATAATTACATTTGATAACTTGGCCGACAATTATAATTGTCCATCTTTAACTCATCTAACTGTATATTTATTTGTGGTTATTAATAATAATGATAATAATCGATAAATATACTTTATCATCATCATCATCATCATTTATCTTCCAGTGGAAATTAATTACTTTCACTTTGTCTCTGTCTTAATTAATTATCACAACAATTAGAGAAACTGTCAGATTAATAATAATATTAAATCCTTAATTATTATTATCATCTTATAGTTTATATATATTTTATATCCTCGATAATAATATTTTTAGTATTTATAATTAGCTCAACAATCAACATGTAATTCAATTTAAATCTTTATCTAGTCCAATGTTATTAATGAATTATCATAATCATGTTATCATCATCATCATCATTATTATTATTGGAATGATGATTTATCACAAAACTTACAATTCTAATAGTTAAATTTACTGAACAAGTAAATATGATGATGAAGAATTGTGATTATTATTATGAATTGTATTCAATTGGATAATATAATAATAATAATAAATTACTTTGGAATCCAAATGATGCTAAGAATTTAGTTCTATTATTATATTAGAAACCTCGAACTTGTCCTTTGTCGATGTTCAATTGAACAAATGTTCTGATTTTTACCTTTTAAAGTATTTCCATCGATTTTACCTGTAATCATGATAATACTAATTTTTTTTTTCTTCTCTTTCATGGAAATTGAAAAAGTCAATCAAAATATAAGCGACGAAACCAATCTAGTCAAGATTGAAGATTATGCTATTCAAATTGAGCTTTAACCTCTTTCATTTTAAATTGAGCTCTAATTTGAATATTCAATTAGCATCATTTTTATCGGTGAACAGAAAAATTTGAATATTTATTCATATCGTTAAATGATTCAATTCAATTCATTCAATTCGTTTCCATGATTAACTATTAACTACTTTTGTTTCTCACACTTTCAACTCATCAAATCGATTAGTATTTAGTAATCGTTTGACAATTAAATCACTATTATCATTATGAGAGAGAGAGAGAGAGAGAGAGAGAGAGAGAGAGAGAGAGAGAGAGAGATTTACCATGTGAATGAATTTCTCGAATAAATAACATTTGAAACATTAAAAGAACCAGACAAATACAAAGTTCTAATACATTTCGATTGAGTTATTTAGTTTTTTCTCCAATTCTGCTCATACAAATTAATATGTTCTAATATTTTATCATTCGTCGAGTTTATTTACCGTTATGATTGTAAATCAGAATTGAACTTATCATTATTATAATTAGTTTCATGTTAACTATGAATTTTGATCTCAATTTACATATAAATATATTTTCCAAACTTTCCAACATGAACTTTTCGAAGTTTTAAATTTTCTCTTGCATTTGTTATTCTCTCTCTCTCATGTTCAAAATAGGATATTGGCCCTTTGGGAGATTAACATGTAACTTTTGGGTTACCTGTGATGTTCTGTGTTGTAGCTCTTCCATATATCATATGTGTTTCATCAGCGTTGGTCGATATGTTGGCATAAAGAATCCGCTTCATGCTCGACAAGCTCGACTTCTTGTTTCAAGACGAGCAGTTCTCTTGAAGATCGTAATCGTTTGGCTGATTGCCGCTTTAATTACAAGTCCAATCACAATACTTGGAGTAATTGATTCGTCCAATATTATGCCTGATCCATTAGTTTGTTCAATTGATAATAAATACTTTCTAATTATCGGTAAGTAATACATGATCATATTTATAGTCTCTTTTTTCATTCAATGTTAAACTTCAATTTGTACCAAACGATAATGTCAACTTAATGTAAATGTCTTAATCCATGGGAATAACTTTTCCCATTCAAACAGAATATTGATTAATTGATTTATCATGATTCTCTCATAATTTGTATACTTTATTATTTTAACTAAAATAATTATTGACTAATAATTTTTTTCTTTTTATGGTTTGATGAACTTTCCTCTCTCTCTCTATCTTTTCGTCGATTTCAATGGTCCAATTTGAAGGAGCTTTCAGTGCCTTTTATTTACCAATGATGATTATGGTTAACAGTTATGTTCTAACTGTTCGATTATTGAGAAGAAAAGCGAAATTTTGTAAAAATTCTACTGATCCTGGTAAATGGCCTCCATCTTCTCGAACCTCAATCACCGAGAAATCTCATGGGAATCAAGGTGATAATGGAAAGTATTCAGGTAAACTTATTCTCTCTCTCACTTTCTCTATCAGTTCGATATATTTAAGATAATGTCATTATTGCTTCAGTTATCATCATCATTTGTTACACAATCCATATAATATCATGTATGTAAGTTAATAGTTATCACTAAATATTATATTATTATTATTATTATTATTATATTCAACTCTCACCTTGACAAGGTTATACAAAGAAACAATATTTTTCATCTTACAACCTGAGTAACTGAGTATATGGGAGTAAATAATATTAGTAATAAATTGTTTACTCTTCAGGTTGACAATCAATTTGTATCAATATAATACTAGAACAACAATCAACAATCATCAAGCCAGAAAAATAAAACACTGTAATCAAAGATAATTCATCATGTTAAATGATCAACTTATCGGTTTGTTATTGGAATCGTTGAATTAGTCTGTTTGTTTTAAGATTAACTCTGAGAAAAGTGAATACATCGAGAGATACATGGTCCTAAATATCGTGTTCAATATAAGGATAAAAACCTGAGTTTTTAATATTGTGATTTCTGATCACGTTAATTCACATAGAGTACATCAAATTTAATATCATTACGTGAGTTGAAAGGAAGTTGAAGATATTACATATATTTATTAGTTAAGATGATGATTATGATTATATTGAACATTATGATGATCATGATGATGAAGAAAAAAATATGATTGTATTAACCTGAACGAGTTCGTGTTACTCCACTTGGATCAATGTGAATAAAATTACCATGTAAATATTGAATAAACATTGAGGTTGACCAATTTTCCATCATTTTCATCATCATCTTCATCTTCATCTTCATATTGTAATGGGCTACAGTCAATTAGATTACTTTAATCACTATAATTATTGAGATAATAATATCATGCAAATGATCATGAATGGAAAACTTTTCACAATTATTATCATAAAATACATGATGAAATGGATAATCGAATATGTTTCAACTCTTTTTTTTTCTTTCTCTTCGTCGATTTTCATTATTGTTTTTCTATCATTTTCGTCCAATTCAATAGATAATCAAAGATGCTTCAAACGGGATTTCGACACTCGCAAAATTAAAACTACCTTCAGTTTTAAAACTCGAAGTCTCCACTCGATATCAGATGATAATGATAATAATAATTTCAGAAGGAGTTCTAATCAAATAGGGTGAGGTTCAAATCTTTTTTTTTCCTTCTTCTCTTTTACTTGTTCGTGTTCATTGTACGATCATAATTGAGGTCGAAATAATTTACGAACAGAATTGGACTAATATGATATTCTAATGTTTTCCTTTCGTTCTGTTAATATTTATTTATATCTCTATGAACATAGGAATAAACGACCTTCTCCATCTGGGTCAATATTGGGAGGTCAATTTGGTACCGATATAAGATGTCGAATATCTAAATATTATAATACCCAGCCCATGATGATACGAACATTAGGTTCATCTGTACAGGTTCGAACTGAGCAAAAAGCGACGCAAGTTCTTGGTTTGGTCTTTTTCTTATTCATCATTTGCTGGTCACCCTTTTTTACTCGTAACCTTATCGAGGCTCTTTTTACGAATATACAAATGCCCGCTTCTTTACCAACGATATTCCTCTGGTTAGGTTACTTCTCATCGACCATTAATCCCGTTATTTATACAATTTTCAATCGAAATTTTCGCCGAGCATTTCGACGAATAATTTTATGTCAAACAATCAAGTATCGACTTCAACGAAGTTCACAATCATTTACACCTAATCAACGTATCGGTGGTCGTAGAGGTATTTACAATAATTCCAATCAAAATAGTCCAAATGTAAACAACAATAACAACAATAACGATAACGATAACGATGATAATGATAATGATAATGTTAATGATAACCCTGATTCTGGAATGCTGATAATGTTAACATGGATAATATTAATCTAAATGAGAATAGTTCAGATGATTGTCCTAATTCAATTCATGGTTATGTCTATTCTCAGGGTGGATTGATGATAAATACAAGGAAACCTGTTGATTGTAATGAATATTCCGATGGTGGGAATCATGAACCAATGGATGATCAGGATAATATTAATAAAGATTATCATGATAATGTTATATCAAAAAAGAAGGGAAAACTTTTTGTGTCAAAGATTTGCTATCACACTTCATCAAATGATGAACAATCAGTTGAACATGATGATAATAATGATAATCATCATCACCATCATCATGTAATCTCATCTAATAGTAAATATCAATCAGGTGATAATAATTATTCTGATTCATTAAACATGAGATATTGGGATTATCAAAGGTCCCATTTTAAAAATCGATCTGACCCTTTGGCTACACTTAAGTGTTGCTCTGAAGTTTAATGTGACAATTAGTAAACTAATTACAAACAATTTACTATCAATACAAATGACAATGAAATCCATTCACATATCAATCGTTTCTCTCTCTCTCACTGATTTTCATTCATTCATCATCATTAATCATCTTCAATCTGTTATGCAATTTTAATTAACTTTACACTTTAGGTCAAACTCAATAAGTTTGATTGTAATCAGAAAATCAACAAATTGTAATTTTCTTACAACAACAACAAAAACTAATCATTTGTTAAAATTTGTTCATTATCCACATATGATTAAATTTGTGATTAAATTCGTAAGTGTATTAAATGTTTTTCCTTTCAAAATTTATATACAAAACAAAACCGAACAAAAATAAAATCAATCAAAGAAAAGACAATTATAATTATTAATCGAAAAAGTGAAAAGAAAAAAATTTCGAGTCAAATTTTAGTTCTTTTTTCACTCACTAGATGGAGCCACTTATTCGGCGGCTTTTTAATGGAAAAACAGACAACCAGCTCCATCTGCCGAGTTTCGGTTCCATTTCACTTCCAATCGATAATTTAAACCGACAATCAGACCGACATCTTCTTTGGTCAATGAGAATTACAATTACTGCGAATGCGTTAATGTTGTAAATTTCGCATTTGCTTTTATCTCTTTCAACGGTGAGCTTCATCTTAGCTAATTTTTTTTGCTCTTCACTTCATCTCTCTCAGTTTCTTTTCTCTCTTTCTCTTTGTGGTTGTTTTTTCTATTCAATAAAATCTTTTGCTACTTAATTCCATCGAAACATTTCAATTAGAGAATTTATTGAAAATTCTGTTCCCATCATGTTATCGATAATTCAATCTTGGAATCTAGTCTATTTCTTTTTTATGTTTGCCTGTTTATCATCTTTCTCTAATTGTAAGTACAATTTAATCTTCTTTCTCACCGCCTTCAACTGTTTCTCTCTCTCTCTCTTTGAGGAGAATTTCAATTATTCAGTGAATCTGATTTTCTTTTCTAATTTTTTTTTCTCTTCATCTTATTTCCTGAAGGCTTGAAAATAATTCCAGAAGGAACTCAAGAAGTGAGATGGGTCAATGAAAGTTTCGTGTTGACATGTTTCGAGGAAGGAGACATGACCGATCGTAAGTTATTCTACTAATATTCTAAGATTATTGATGCTACAACAAAAAGAAAACAATTTAAATGGTCAACAATTAATCGCTGATAATTTTGCAATTTTTATTTCCTTGAACACAAACAAAAAACCAGGAAAACTGGAATGGACTCAAAGTGGAATAGCTGATCCAAGTTTCGTATTGCAACAAGAAAATCATGGTAAGTCCTTGATTCAACTCGAATTATATCATTTCTATCTCTCTCCTTTATCGATATGATCACGTTGATGATTCATGTTCTCGACACGCATTCGCAGTAACATCAATTTCCATTAACCAAAGAAGATGTCGGCTGAAAGCAGCTATCATCATCTTTCTCATCATCATCATCCCATAAACCCCAACATAGGTCGACCCAAGTTTAATCCTCTATTTCATCCTCATCATCATGTAGCTTTCGAGAGAGAGATTGAGTTGATGTTTAATCTTTAATTTCCTTGAGCAATTTACTTTTTTTTCATAATATTTAAGCTCAATTCAATTGATAGTTGCATGTTGTTGTTGTTGTTGGATATTTATACCCACACCTTATTATTAAAACTCAATTATGACCCTTGACCTTCATCTGTCAGTTAAAAATCAATATAAATATTGAAATGATGATGAAAACAAATTGAATAATCATGAAATTTCAATTGTCATTATGATTTAAATTGATTGAGATTCTCTGTTTTTGCTTTTATTAAACTTAGCCAACAATCATCATAATCAAGTGTCAATCAATCAAACACACTAATTAATCAACATTTTCTCAATCAAGTGTTTCGTTTTTGTTATTATTGTTAGAATCGATTCCATGAAAAACTCAAGAATAACTTTTTTTTTTATTTTCTATTTTTCTCCATTCATGATAATTTGTAATCAGTAAAAGTGTAAACCTTTGGGTGGAAAGAGAGTAGAGTTGAAAATTTAAAGTTCTTATAATACACAAAACGCACACGCCATTTTTTTCTTCTTCTTGGCGAAAATCATTCGATTTAACTGATTTAATTCCAATTCTCTCTCTCTCTCTCATCAACAGGTCATCAACTTCGATTGTTGGTCTACTTCGCAAAGAAGCACAATGCTGGTGAATATACGTGTGTTCTTAAAGACGTAAGTCTATTTTTCTTTAATTATTCCAATCAAAAACTCTAAACTTGATCTTATCGAACACAATCAATTCTAATTGAGAATATCCTTTATGTGGATGCTCAAGGTGACCACAATCAAGAAGCACTGATAGTTAAATCTTCATTCTATTACTATTATATTTGCTCCTCTTCCTTTTGCTGGTAAGAAAAAGGGAGAAAATGTCACCAGAACAAGAGAGAGAGAGAGAGAGAGTTGCTGACTAATTGAAATCGCTTTCACTCACTCGAACCAATTAGGATGACAAGGTCATTTCTCTCTCTCACTCATAATTCATCTAAATAATATCTTCATCCTCTTATCTTGAAATGCAAAACTGATGCAACTCTAATTTTATTAATTCCCTTCATCAAATGTTCATCCTTTAGAAAATAAGATTTGTCATGATAATCAGTTTTACTTTCCAATTCTTATCCATTCATCTGAGTCGATATTCTTGATAGAAACACGCTCATGATTGATTTTCAACCAACATCATAAATTAGATCAAAATTTACTTTGAATTGTAAAATATAAACTTTTCTTCATATTTATTTGTTCAATGGTCAAGAAGAAGAGTCCATTTGAACATTTCAAGTAACTCGAAGGAAAGTTTTTAGGAAATTTGAAACTCGATATCTGTGTTTATGTGTCTATGTCATTATCGAATCTAATTGATATCATTTTCACTCAAATTCTCAATTTATATTCCTCATGAGTGATCACCGATAAGATGAGAATTGATAATATTTATTTAATGTGTCATTTCATATTTTATTCATCAATTTCCACCATATTTATATATATATATTTACAGACTCGATCCAATCAAGTAATTGAATTTAAGTCGATAACCATGAATATTTTTGACAGGATTCATTTTATTGGTGAGTTAATTTTCATTGTTTACAATATTGTAAACAAGAAAAAAAAAATTTTATTCATATTGAGAGTTTTGATTAATTGAAAGATTATCGTCAAAATTTCATCAATCTATTTGTCATTTCAGGTCAACAAAATCGAGAAGTGAGAGAGAATCAAAATGCTGAACTAGTCTGTAAATTCAGTTACGATGAGCAGCTTAAAGTTTCCGTATCATGGAATGGGCGAAATGGAATTGAACAACTCAATGGGTCAACTAATAAGTACAGAATAAATAATATTGAAGGACGTCCATACACATCGATATTGACCATTTCTCAGGTCAAAAAGGAAGACGCTGGTTCGTATACCTGTCAAGTTCTGGTCAACTCTTTGCGTAAAACTGACATCAAATTTTTCGCACTTGGTTTAAATGTCGTCTGTAAGTATCAGTCCATTCATTTCAATCGATTATTATTATTATTCAAATTTTCCCAATGGTCAACTTTTCGTTATTTTTTATCTTCATTTCTTTATCAACTTTATCATGACAATTTCCGTTCATTTCCATGTTCAAACAAACTGAACTAGGTCAAGTTAGTTGACAAACTAATAGCTAAAGGAAAGAGAGATGACAAGATAAGTGGTCAATGATAATAATATATAAAAAAAGGAGAATGATGATTAAGATGATAATGTTTTTACTTCTCAAATGAATTATTATTATCATTCTATCATGAGAAGATAATTGAATCGATTTCTCTCATAATCTACTATACATGGAACAACTCAATGAACTTGGATTATCAGGTTGATAGATTTTGAATAAACTGTTAATTCACTGAAATAGCTGATCAGTTAGTGTTCAGTTTTCAATGATAATATTGAAATTCTAATGGAAAAGGGCGTTGCCATGTCTCTTATTCATGGTAGTAATTTTCATGGTAAAACGTATTCATGATGAAATTCATTGTGATAATTAATAGATTTTCAAGTTTACTAGCATGTTGATACTTTCCTAAATTGTAATTGAATTGATCGTCTATTGTTTTTATCTCTTGTTCAATAGATGGACCTAAATTTCATAAAAATGAATCGGATACCGGATGGATTGATGAGAAAAAGTTCTTGAGTCGTGAAGGTCGAGATAAACCTGTAACATTGCGATGTGTCGTTGATGCAAATCCGAAAGCTCGAATCGCTTGGCAATTAGCAAGTAATCGAGCTCTTTCCAATGATTCAATCAATTACACTCATGTTATCAAGGAAGGAGATAATTTCAGTGAATTGAAACTCTTTTACAAAACACCAACGGCAACCAGCAAGAATCGGCCCATTAAGGATAAGACAATCACACCCAATGAATTTCGTTGTGATGCTTCAAATCTATACGGTGAAGATTCCCGTCGATATTATGTGAAAATTAGTAAACTTCCCAAAATGCCTGATATATTGGATTACACAATTGCTAATAATCTGTTGACCTTAACAATCAAAGATCAGAAAATAACTCCTCCAGTTGATAAATATCGAGTTCGTATTCACAATAAAGACTTTGAATTCAATGCAAGTAAGTATCAAATTCAATCAACTAATTAATTGGTCAATGACTTTCCAATAGGTGAATAATGTTCATGCTATTTTAATAATCAACTTCCTATTGATAAGCTTCATTTCTGATTACATGTCACTCTCTATGTTTCTCTCTCTCTCTCTCTCCTTTCTGTCTTTCCAATTATCATCATCTAATTTGAGTAATCACGAAAATCATCAACAATCATCCAATTGTGCAATCAATTTTTTCCACATCAATTGTCCTCTTTAATTACTCAGCTAATGATAAGATTATTTGTTTCCCCTATGAATACAAATTGATAGATTATTTTAATTTACATTTTTTCACTATTGTTGACCACTAATTCCTGATAATATTACTCATATTTAAAAAATAGATTATCGATCAGCACTGATAATATATCATTTGTTTATCATAATAGATTCTCTTGTTGATTTGATCGCTTTCAACAGAAATCAATCAACTGTAGATTGATGAAGTCATAGAAAACTAAATGAGAGAAAGAGAAAGATCCAGAGAGTGTCCTACTCTCTCTCTCTCTCTCTCTCTCCTTTTCCACCTTACTAAAACCCACCCCACCTTGTTACATGTTCCTCCCTCGATTACACTCATAAGATTGTCTCTTTTTCTTGACTACCGATGATCATTTTTAATTCAAAACAAAGTTTATGATGACAATCAAACTCTCAACCTAATACTTGCCATAGATTCACCTTGACTACAACCAAGGCACATTAAACAGTTGATACATTAGCTTTTCTCTCAATTTGATTGCGTGTTTTATTGTCCCCTTGTTGTTGATGATAATGATGATTATGAATCAGCATAATATTTATTATCTATTATCTCTCTCCCATTTCATTTAATCTTGTCCGATAGTTGACCTAAACTAACCCGAAAAAGCAAAAAAGAGACCTAATATCGATTGCATATGTTATGCATAATATGCAAATTGAGGCACGTCTTTGGCAGCGCAATTTAACCAAAGAAAACGTGTAATTAAATTTTTACGCTTTTCCCACAATTCAATTTACACGAGCAACCAAATCATCATTTATTCGCGTGCATTCAAAACAAAAACAAGCAAAGAGTAACATCTTGATTTAGTTGGTAGATTTTTCTGTTAATCATCAAGTCATTTCTCTCTATCTCTCTTTCAAAGTTCATGATAACTTTTAGAATCCTCAATGAGATGATTTCTTCATTTTTCTAGCACTTTGATTATCCCTTATGGAAAAGGAAATAAGTTTTTATACTTCTCTCATTCTCATCGTTTAGAAGATGAAAAGGATTCTTCATCTTCTGCATCATTTTCTATCTTCTATTGTGTTTGCCGTTTTCTCTTTTAAATGTCTCCCTCATCATCATCTCTTCCCTTCTCCTCCTTCTCATCCATCGCTCAATAGAATTAAAATGATCACCGAACTAGTGCCATCTGTCTATTCGTCTCTCTCTCTCTCTCTCTCTCTCTCTCTCTCTCTCTCTCATTTACTTCCTTCTTTTTACCGGATCTTAGGTTCTTCTCGTGCGCTAAGTAGTATTTTTTTTCATTTTTGTTCTAAAATTCAATCGATTGTTCGAACAATTTTTTGTTCTCTTCTAAAAGATAAAAGAGAATATGGAAAAGTCCGATCAATCAAGCGAATCTTACAATTTAAACCTGATTAGGATTCGATAAAATAAAAGCCATAGTAATAAGATAATGTCCATTGTCTATTATTCTGTGTACACACCTTAGCGTGAGTCAAATGCTCGTTAATTTATCTCCATAAATCTTATGGTTCCACTTTCATGTTTATGTTATAATTACAGTTAATCTATTAATTTCTCTCTGTTTATAATCCTAATTAACCAATAGAATCAAGTTAAATCTGTTAGGCGGGAAACACCTAAATTACTTTGCGATTTTCGGACTAATCTTTACCCTCTCTTTAATCACTTCCTATTGTGTATGTGTTGATTATTTTACGATTTCAATTTCAAATCACTCCCAATAATTTGGATCATGATTATGATTAATAAAAAACCTTATCTTGTTATATTACTTTCGATCCAAGGTCAAGCCATTAAGCTTAAATCTCTCTATCTCTCTCATGTTAACATTGATTATATCTCTGGAAACTTTATCGATCGATCGATGAAAAAAGTCCTGTCACATTTATTATTATGTTTCCTATCCAAAGAAGGAAAAAATAACAATCTAAACCATATCTTCATCTTTTGCCTCATTTTCCCTCTTTCTCTCTCTCTCTTGTCATCTTCTCTACACTTACACTGCCATTATTATCTTCCCTCCTTTCCTCCTCCTCCTCTTCCACACTCACTTTCCCTCTCCCACTTTGGCTTGTACCTTCCTGGTACTTCTTATAATTCGAGGTGATCACTCGATCGCCTTACCCTCGAATCCTATTCGGATTGTTAATGAATTATGGATTCATCGGCCTTGAGATTCTGAATGGAACACTAAATTTCATCATCATGTTCCTCTTGAATATTATCATCATGGTTCTTTTGTTATTGTTATTGCTTCTTTCTTTCTCTCTCTCTCTCTCTCCTTTTTGATCGACCTACTTCAATTCCAAAGTGAATATTGCTCAAACTCAGAGCATTTCATGTAACCATCCTTCGAACTAGGTCATGTTTTATATCAACATTTCGAGTCTTTTCATCTCTATATCCTTGTTTTCCTGGTTCCTGGTAATTCTAAATGCTAATATTTTACTTCGATGAAATCAAGTTCCCTATGTCATCACAAATATCCAAACTCGAAAAGACTTGGAAACTAATAAAAGTCCAAAGGGAAAGAGAGAAACGTTCACAAGCTCGTCCTGCGTAAACCAATTGAATCTTTATTTAGATTCAACTGTTTTTTATATATTTTCTTCATGAGGATAAGTTTCAGGGTGAAAACAAATACACCCACTGAATTGATGCAAAGAATCAAAATAAAAGCAGATTCAATCACATAAAGATGGAGCATAAAAATCACATAGATTTTATGAAGATTATTAAATAGCATAATTGTTATCCATTAGAATCAAATGTTAATTTCGATTGTTTTTTGTTCTTTCTTTCTAGATCATGATAACAATCAAACTTACACCGTTCAAATTGATAAAGTTCCCGGTGGTGACCACTCATTCCTCTTCTTTGCCCATAATCCCGTTGGTTGGTCCGAACCATTGGCCGATGAAGCGATGAAACTTTCGATTAACCTTTCAAGTTCATTATCTCCTCTTATTCATCTTTTAATTTTACTTTTTGCAATCTCCATTTCGACTCGTGTTTTTATCTCAGTATGATTTAATTGAAACCAATTCGCTTAATCAACCAAATTAACTAATTCCACCAAGATAGATTTCCAACTCATTCCAACCAGTTATTTATAACGATTTATGTAAATGTTCATCATCTCTATTGTCAGAAGAAAAGAAACTATTACCATGAAAAGATTTACTATATTCTCTTCATCTTCACCAAAGGATTGGAAAATTTCATTCTATTCCTGATTCCGATTCAATTTCCATTCTCTCTCTCTCTCTTTCTCTCTCCTGTTTTCATGAATTCAAATCATCGACAAAACATCTAAAAGGTACAACCATTACCATGGCATGGACATCATTCTCACCTTCATTGACATCATCCAACATCTTCATCTTCATCTACACCATCTCATCACCATTTTGGCTTCTAATCAACCACGAACATTAATATGTTCAGCTCTCTATCGTTTATTGTCTCATCTTGTCTCTTTAATTTTGGAAATTAATCGTACCCTGTGCCCGAAAAAAAAACTAACAATTACAAAGAACCAAAGAGTCACATTCGTTTCTTCAAGTTTTAAAATTATTGGAAGAAAATTAACTCAATTGTATCAATAATTGTATCCGTCTTGATGTGTCCATGTTCATGTTAATGGAGTTTAATGTCATTCCAAGAAAGCGAAAATTAATCCCAAAGACAATTTATTTTCAATCTCTAACTTCAAAATACTAATAATTGAATCAAACAAAACCCCCAAATGAGCTCGATTTCAGAAAGAAATAACCAATAATCAAAGCATAATGAATTTTGATCCTTCCAACCTCAGTTCCAACTCAAGTTCATATTCATTCATCTTCCAGTATCACCATATAAATGACAGATTAGGATAAACACGAAAACAACAGAACCAGAATCAAGAAAAAAACCAAAAAACCAACTCGAAGCGATCGCTCAACCAATTTGTTGACAAAAGGAAACTTAAATTGTCATCATTGGATTTTGTCAATTGGAAACCGAATCTCAATTCACAATCAACATACTAAGACACCTTATTCCAACCAAATCAGCTGATAAATATCGTCATGTCACCAATCGTTGGACCAACAAGGAGATATATATACACAATATAAGCAATAATTGATTGAATTTGAGCTAAAATTTCAACCTGATGAAGAATCAGCAAAGTCAAATACCCAACACAAAAAATATATACTTACAAGTTGAATATTCATCAGCATTCAACAAGTCAACAGAATTAAAAATCTATGCAGTTGATTAGCTCAAAGAAAACTGACCAAGTTGATAGAGAAGAAAAAAGTTCAGTGTTATCGTCCAAAAGGTGAACAACATGGGAAGAGATTGACTGTTATCAAAATCTTAGAGAACTCACTGAACTCCAGATCTTTTGCCTTTACTAGTCTGTCATTTTCTTTTGATACATAAAACAAATTGAGAAAAATGAAATTATAATACTAAAGAATAAGCTAATTAATATGATTTAATTGTAAAGAACATAATTTTAATTCCTTTCGCATTTTATATTAATGTTATTTCTCAATGTTTTTCCTTTGTTTTTCTCTTTCTTTCCTTCTTTCTTTTCAGCCTCATTGTTTTTCGTTTTCTTTTTCAAAAGTTCAGTTCCATTCAAAGTTCTGATGTGGTTTCCTCTTTTTTTTTCACCCAAATGTTATAAAAACCAAGAAATTAACACCAGAACAGAAGCCAAATTAACATGATGCTGATTCGAGTGCGTGTAATCCTCTTAATTTTTAAACAAAAAGATAAAAAAAATTAAACTAAAAATGAATAATAAAATCAGTGAAAAATTAACTTTCAATTGTTTCATTCACAATTTAATGAGAAAAACAAAAGTTTATCAACATTTTGTGATAACTTTTCTAGTCCTTGTTTTGTTTTTTACTATTTCCGTTTAATTGTTGTCACCTTTTTAACTGATTGCGACTTGATTGTTGATAAGTTTTTTTTATTAATTTCTATTATATTATATTCATGAGACATGTGAGAAAATCATTTCAATGATTATCTGTAAGTAGTCATTTCAAGTTGATTGTTAACTTGATTGTATCATATTAACGAATCGCAATTAGTATTATCTTGACAAATCAGTATTTCCAATTAGCTAATCAGTGAGAGAGAGAGAGAGGAAGAAAAATAAAAAATCTCAAGAATTGTTGTTGATTCAGTTTCTTCATTCATTGCAATCAACTGATTACTTTCTCAATGGTACGTCAATGGTAATTTCTTGAGCATCGTAATTCAGATGAGTCAGATAAAGTTCATTTTCTCAATAAAATTAACGTTTTATTAAACAAGATCTTACAAATCACAGGCTTCTTTTTTCATTTAGTGTTTGATACACAGAGAAAGTAGATAGCGAGAGAGAAAAAGGGTGAGAGAGAGAGATGATCATAAATTATGACGATGGAAGAATAAAGTTATACACATGAGAGCGAAAAAAGAAAATTCGAAAAAAGCAAAGATCGAGAGAGAGAGAATGAAAAAATGAGTGCTTGTGGAGGTTTATCGCTATTCTTTTCCATGGAATCGTAAGTTTTTTTTTGAAGAACATGAAAATGGATTAAAACCTCCAGGTTATTATCTCTAAATCGCATTTACAGTTTTAAGAATTTGGTTCATTTTTGTTAATCCGTTAGGTAGATAAAAGTTTACATCTTTGATGTGCATCGTAAGTGTTTGTGGTTCGTGTGTGAGTTTCAACTGTACATTGAACGAGGCGAAATTGACCAATTTGTCCCCAATAATGTTCTCGGTGTTACTTTTCAAAGTAGCTCGAACTCAATTGAACAAGATCAGGAGCATTCAGAATTCAAATGTTTCTATTGATAGGAATATTCGGATCGATGGTGTTTTCCAAGTAAAATCCAATCCGAAGGCCACAATAGTAATTGGTTATCATTAAATTACAAAGTATTAATAGATCACTTTAAGGATTGACCTTTCGGATTCGATTTTCATTGCTGTTCATTATCATCGGGATAATCGATTATAACCATGATCGAAATGAATTAGTAGAAAAAAAGTCTTTTAGAGTTTTATGATTTCTTTTTGTAGCCAGAGAAATGAATAAGCCACCAGGAACTTGGATGTAATCAGAATTGCAAGAAGAATATAATTTCGTGAGCGAGAATTTTTCGACCTTTCGAGACAAATTCGAAATGTACAAATCGAGCAAATTGTTTATGGCCTCTTGAATTGTTCTTTTCTTGCTGTTCTCTCTTCTTCTTGATTCGATTGATGCTCTAATCCAAAAAGTAACTGTGAAAATCTCGTAAAATCAATTCATCAGCTAATCTCCTCCAGTTAATTTCTTTCCCTGAATGGTAATTATTCATATATAATATATATATTTGTGGACTTGTTCAGTATCACGATTACCATCCTCTCGACAGGGACGAAGAAAAAAAAACAAAAGTTTACTCGAAAGTCATTTAAATTAAATGTTCGCAGCAGTTAAGTAAACATAGAAGGCTTTCCTTGAGGAAAATTAATACACAATGAGAGAGAAAGAGAGAATTGGAAAAGGAAATTGATTTTTTAAAAGCTTCATCAGCTTCACTTGATGCGAAAAAGAAAACAAAAAGATGGATAATCTTTGATGATTAAAATTATGTAACAATTAAAAAGATTTGATGATTAAAAGATAAATCTAAAAGGATAACTAGGAGCCCAAAGAGGCTGATGACCAAATTGAGCCTAGAGATGATGATAATGATGATGAAGATGCGGAAGACTGTGATGGCGATTTTTGTTGTTCATTGAATGATGAAGATGAAGATGAAGATAAAGATGAAGATGATGATGGTGATGGTGATTCAAAGAAACCAAGATGACTGAGAACAGCATTTGAATTGGCAATTAGTTGATCTTTGTATTTCCATATTGTTGTATCTCGAGTTGTGTATATCCTGAAATCGGTTTTACATGAGTTTTTCAATGGACCAACACAATCTTTACGATAATGTTGAAGGTGAGCTAATGAAGTGTTGATTGAATAGGTTGTACATGAGCCAAAACAATTAAGTGGAAAATGATTATGAAGGGAAACAACTCTTTCCGTATTGTGGAAACATTTAACGTACTGTCCTGGTTTAGTGTAATTTCGAGATCGATAGACATGTTGTAACATGTGAAGGTAGGTCGGAATTCCGGGCTCATGGCCTGTGTGTTTCATCTGTTGCTCACCGACACCCAGATCATCAAGGAAATAAGCATTACGAACATTATAACTGGCACGGGAATAGTTTTTCTCCTTTAGTGATTCCCGTTCAACAACGGCCATTAGATCAGACCAATTGTCGTGCTGTAAGGGCATAATAATCTCATCGATATCCAGTAATGCTAAATATGAATATGAATAAAGATTCCGATAAAGACAATCATTATAAGGGATCAGTTCATTTTGTCTTTTAGCGGTCAACTTGTTTTTCAGGTAAAGATGTCGGAAACCAGGTAAATTGGGCTGATCTCCAGGTAAAGTGATCGGTGTTAATTCAACTAATCCTTTCTCTTGATAATAGTTTAAAACTTTAGATATATTTGGATGGATTTCCATCTCATAAAGGAAAATCTTTTTGGTTCCAAGTATTTTCAAAAGTTCAATCCATTCAATTAGACGGACACTAAGATCTTCATGGAGAAAGTCAAGTCCTTTAACGCAAACGGCAAAATCTTGCTTAACCTCAGGTCGATTGTTGATTACTCTTAAATTGTTACGAGCTTTTTGACACTTTGAATCAACCAGGGAAACTGAATTAGGTGCATATGAAATTTTCTTGGGAAATCCTTTGATTCTTGGGATTTTACAATTAATTACATAGGGTTGAAGAAGACCATCCTTGTAGTTACCCCATTTGGAATACCATCCGTAAGTATAAGTGGCCTGACTTATTATTGGACCTGAAACATTGTCAAACCATAAGAGACAATAAGTTGGCGGAGGTTTAACCCGATCAATCATGGCCAGAATACGAACTGAAGGTAAAGGTCCACCTCGCCAACGGTCATCATAATAAGCACCATAAAGATAGAAAGATGATCCATTTGAAGTGACCACTTTCTGCCAATAGATGTTATTATAATCTAATTCAAAGAGACTTGGAAATTCAGTTCGACAAGTTTCACCTTCGGGTATAATTCCGGATTTACTATTTTTCCCCTTCTTCTTAATCTTATTCCAATAAGCAAGCGGTAGATTTGATACATTGGACAATTGAAGTAGAATCTCCTGTTCATTCAAACTCGGTGAATTATCAACCTGAACTTTTGCCTGTAATAGTTGATTTGGATAACCAATTGGATTAGATGAAGATACCGATTGTGATTGTGATCCAAATTTATCGATAAGTTGACCATTTGATGATTTGGTTGTTGTTGCTGAACTATGATAGGAGATAAATCCAGTAGAATAGTCTAATGGATTGTTCTGTAATAATCCTCTTTGACCACCGGAATTAGTTAACGAAGATGCACTATTTAAACCTAAATAATCGTAATTCTTATCAACAGGATTAGTCGCTAATCGGTAAACAAGGAAACAAACACAAGTCCATAAGAAGGCGAAGTATATTAAACGTTTATAAGCTCGTCCGGCGTAAACGAATTGAATCATTGTGGCCGTTGGAAAACTCGAAGAGAGAAAAAAAGTTTCCGAACAATTGGAATCAAAATGGACTTTTTGGTCTTCTTTTTTTTCTTCTTTTCTGTTGTTCGTTGGTTCGTTGGGTGATAATATAAAACCAAACACAGGGGAAAACAGGGAAACAAAACTCAATTTATGAATATTAACGTTTGACTATTTGAAGAAAATGATTTCAAATGATTGGTTATGACGACGACGATGATGATGATTAAGCATAAATGACATGTTATCGATCAGAGTAAAACCAACACAGGGGAGTAGTTGATGTTTGTAATAAGATAATTATCGATGATGAGATAAAACAATCATGGAAACCGATGATATGCAAGAGGAGAGAGAGAGAGAGAAACAGGTGATTAATTATATGGAGAGAAAAGTGAACGACAAATTGAATGGAGAGAAATGTCAACTTACAAGAACTTATATTGAGGGAATTTTGTTGATTGTTTTGAAAAGAGAATGACAAAAGGTGAGAATTAGCCAGTTATCCGATATTCTTGATTCCGAGCACATCGTTGATTCTGAAATGTTCAGAATAGTTACACATATGAGAATCTATGGAGAATAGAGAGAGAAAAAAGATTTTCGGTTAGTTTAGTTTCATCGAATATTCAGTTTGGTGGAAAAAGAAACAAAGTAAACCAGATTCACCAGAATGTTAGAGGAAAAAAGCATTGACTCTAAAGGAAGAAGATGAAGAAAAAAAAACATGGAGATCAACTAATAAGATCTCTTTAGTTTTCTTCTCACTTTCTGGTTTCTTCTCTTTCTTCCTCATCTTCTTTCTTCTTCTTCTTCTTCTTCTTTCACAACTAATCCTCTTTTTCTCAATGAAATTTTCTTCACAAAGAAAAGAAAAACTTTTTCTTCACCTACCAAAGAGATTTGTTGTTGATGTCACCAAATCACCGAGTGTTTGATGTTGATCGACAATTAGTTCACTTTTAATTGTTGATAGTAAATCATCATCACAGTAAACAAAAAATCGTATCAATTGATGGAGAATTAAAGTTTATATTAGATGATGAAAATTCAAGATGAAAAGAGAAAAAGGTAAACTTTACCTGGCGAGAAAAAGACCTCACCTGAAAGTAAAAGTTTCTTTTCTTCTACCAATAGGTGGCCCTTTTCCTCTTCTTCTTCTTCTTTCTCTTAATCTTAATCTTAATCTGGTTCTAATATCGATGGTCAGTGGACTTAATCTTAATCAGTTCTATTTCTTAATCATCAATGAAAAGAAAAGTTATCATCATTCTCGTATTAAAGTGACAACTTAAACGGATCAATTCAACAATTGATTAGAATTGAAGAGAAAATCAATTTAATCTTAATCCTGATAATTTCTGTTCATTAATCTTTAATCCTTAATCTTATCTCATGATAAGAAATACGATTCTCCATTTTTCTTATTACTAATTTGTCAACAATCAAGTGGAAAACAATTAATGATTTCTTTTTTGTTTCTCTATCTAATGTAGTGATTAAGAGAGAGAGAGAGAGAGAGAAAATTTCAATCAACAATCAATAATTAAAATTGACCTACAATTTGGGATTGACAAGGTAACTAAATTAATCACTTTCTCACCTAAAATCATGAATAAGATTAACTGACAATTAATTATGTTTAATATACAATATGTGTGCTTATAAAGTCAACAGGTAATTATTATCATCACCTGTAATCATCAAGATGTAATCAATTAAACATAACCGATAAAAACAATGAGCACAATTAAATATCATGATAAACAATTTTCCAATTATCATTGTATTTATATATAAATAAATAACCTTGAAGATAATTGGGGAAAAAAAATCAACCAACTTCAATCAAATTAAGTTAATTGTCACTGGTAAAGAAAATTGAAAACAAAAATCAATCAACAATATTAACTAATGATGATTAGTGATTTAAACAGATTTGATAACAGTTAACAAACCGATCCAATGATTTCAGTACACAAATTGATATCTTATATTAAACATATTGCAATAGATTTTAATTGCTTTTTTATCTTATCAAATTGATTGTTGAGAAATTAATTCAATTGAATCAAATTAACTTGAAAGTTCTCGTTAGTGGCGACATCTGGTATCGAATTAGGTAACTAACCCAATTGAAGGCGCGAAATTAAATTGAAATTGAATTTCAATTCTCAATGTTAATGTGATGATATGAATTTAATATTATCTTTCAGTGAATTGTGATAATAATGAGTAGTTTTCTTTGAAATTATTATATCAATTGATGTGGATAAAAGTTAATCATGTATAATATATATAATATGATATAACTTAAATTACTCTCTAATTGTTGTTGATGAAATGTTGACGGGTCATTGACGTTGGGGACAAATTATTATGTGGTTAGAACTTTTTTTTTTCTTGACAATCAACAAGTAAACTTATTGTTTAAACTGCTTCCGAGTTACAATGATTGTTTTTATCACTTCTCATTGTCATCATTCATGATTATTCATCACGATAACCATCATGTAATCAGAATGAAATAACCATTGACACAATGTTGATTCTTGTGCTCATCATTTGTTACATTGTTTTTTTTTTGATATTTATTTCTCAACATGATTATTATCACATTACACTGATTGTTTATTTCTGAGTATTTATTATTATTATTCAATGAAAATGATTCAATTTACATTAAATTACTTCCTCAAGGCATTAGTTGTTTTTTTTAATGTTTCCCTTGGTTTACAGTCAATTACATTTCCAGATAATAAATTGAAATGATTCATTTCAAGTATCAGAAAGATGATGATGATGATGATGATGATTAACTCTGATACTCGGTGAACTTTTTTTTTCCATGATATTTTTTTGAAAAGTTAATGTGATTATCATGTTGATATCAATTTTTGTTTACTATCTCATTTTTCATCTGAGTTAATCTTTAAATGCTCATCAAATCTCAGGTAGATTCATGTGATATTACACCTTGATAACAATTCTCAAGAGACATTATCAGACTTTACTTTGTCGTTTGTTTACTTTCATCATAATGAAAGTGGTGATGATGAATATCATCCTCATCATCATCTTCGTTATCACCATAAAGTTGTTAAACAAATGGACACTCACTTATTGTCCAATTCTGTTCAATTTCATGATAATGCTTATAGTTACTCTCTATTTGCTTATTTAATATGGATGATGAAATATTGGAGGTCAGCAAAAGTCAGGTTGAAAGGTTGAAGATGAGAATAGCAGGAAATAAGATGGCGAAGATGAAATTGAATGAGTTACATTTATGTTTAAGAAACAAGATGTTACTTTCATCATCATCATCATTTTTTGCTCTCTCTCTCTCTCTCTCTCTCTCTCATCTTCCCCATGTAATAAATGTTATCATGCTGATGTGACTGTTTATGGTTTAAATTGAAATCTGATGAGATGAAGATTAGTTCAAGGTGATGAGAGTTATTTGAGAAAAATAGAAACAAAATTGATGAGGAAAAGGATGAAAAGAATGACCAACAACTTAATCTTTCTGTTTATTATTTGAAGCTCCAAATGCCATGATAATAATGATGAAATAATAGTGCTAAAGATGAGGATGAAATAAGATGGAGAGCAAAAAAGAAAAGAAACTAGATATAAGATATAATATCGAAATGATTTATCTAATTCCTTGAATCAATTTCAATTTCCCCCGACAGTTCATCCTCATTATCATCATTATCATCATGTTGTTTACTATTTTATTTCTTCATCATTTTTTTTTTGGGAATCAATTGAAACTGATTAAAGGGCAATCAAAGAAGAAGAAGAAAAAAAAAGTCAATTTCGAAAGGAATAAAAATTGTCCAACTTGCACTTTCGTTATTCGTTATCATCTCGATTCATTTGATTCGATACGATGGATTTAGGATGGAATTGCATTCACAAGATATTCAATGTACTCGAGAAAATAAAAAGATCGTAAGTTAATCAGGATTAAATTGACCTTCTTTCCAATTGATTTCTTTTTCTTTATCTCCTGTCTCTCAGTATCTTTAATAGAGTGAAATTTGTTTCGTTTATCATGAAACGTAGTTTACAAAGATGATGAGGATGATGAAGATGAAAAAGAAAAGATCATATACTTGAATCATCTTCATCTTCTACCGTTTTGTCATCTTCATTATCATCACCTTTTCTCTCTCTCTCTCTCTTCATATTATTTTATTTTATTGCTTCTCATTATATTGATAAAGAATGAGAATAAGTTAAAGATGAGGATGCTGATGATGGAGACAAAGAGACATTCAACTGAATGAGAAGAAAAAGTAAAAGGATACTGATTGATAAAGAGAAGATGAAGAATAAAATAAAAACAACAACAAGAGTAAAAGATGATGATGATGAAAGGAAGAAGAGTCAATTATCAGCGATTATCTCGTAATAATCATCAACTTTTTTTTCTTCTCTATGGTTTGATGATGCGTGTTTATGTTTATCATTGGAAAAAGAAAAGACAATGATCGTAATTTGATTTTCTCATGCAAACCGACAATTTTCATCTTAATGTCTACTCTTTATTTCCAATCTTAATACTCATCATGGTCTCTTCCCTTTTCTTGTTACCTGTCACACTTTGATCTTCTTCTCCCATGATGTTCAGATTCAGAGAAGAGAAGAGAGAGAGAGAGAGAGAGACGATTCAGAGAAGGAGATGATGATGGAAGAGCTTTTATTATGTTGACAAAGATTCTTGTTCTTCTTGTTGGTTATCAAACTTTGGATTCTGTGAAACTTTATCATCAGAATAATAGAACTGATTAGTTGGTTGAGAAAATCATTCAAGGGATTATCATTCAGCTTATCAGTTTCATTGATCATCTTATTCACCTTTTTATCATCCCTAATCTTCACTAATTTACACAAAAATCACCAACTGATCAATGATGATTAAACGATTCTCTTGTTAACTCACTTATCTAATCTACTTTTCCATTATAACACTTTTTACCTCAAGGCAATTAATTAATTGTAGATAATCAAACTTGACCATACGAAGTTAATCTTTCTCTCTCTCTCTTTTCAATTAAGGTGAGAATATTTAATTAATTGAATATCCTGATTGTGGAGCTTCATTAATTGTTCTTTAAACAGTTAATCTAATTGTAGATGTCCAATGAAAAAATCGCTTCGATGGACAATTTAATAGACTAAGTTTCAAGTTTAACTGTAAAAATTTAGATCAATTTATAATTCTGTTCATCGTTCGTGTCAACTTAATTAACCATGTTAATCAACTCAACGATAATCTATGAAGATAATTAATAAATTCATTCAAGATGAAGAGAGTTTATCATCAATTCGCCTTCAATTACTTCCTGCTGTTCATTTAACAGTCGATAGTTCAGATGATTGTTCAATTCTATCAGAATGGATTAAATTATTTACTTCATTAATCTTTTTTTTCGCTGAGACTTGATTAACATTTAAAGGTCAAAATCTTCTGGTCTAATACATTGGACTAAATCAACGATAATCGACCTAAATTCTGGGTCAACAGAATATACATACAGTTCGAATATGAAGTATCTGAA